ATTTATGTTCATAATTTAGCCTTGGTTCGAAACGTCGGCAATAATTAATAAATAACATTGATTGAAAACCAACCTTTGACCGTTTTTTGGCTGCATTACTAAATTAGACATAATATCAGTTTATTATGGACAATTATTGATGTAAGTTATGTAAATGAAATTACCTGTCGGCATTTTCAGCATTCAATTGTTCATTGTCCTTGAACCATGAGTAAGTTGGTTTACCTATAAAAGATGGATTTTTAGTAAAATCAATTTATCGTCGCTGTCAACCATACCTGGACACAGGGGGGTAAAATTGAATCAATTTTGAACGTAAGCATCTGGTAAATAACGATTCCGGAAATAGTGTCATTCTATATGTAAAAAGGTGTGCTCTATCGATTAGAGGCATTAATTTTTTTGTCTGACACCCCCCATATCCCCCCCCTTTGGGGGTGCCCTTTTGAAATGTTTGTCAAAAAAACATATTAACGCTAGTTCTCAAGGCATGAACATGTAGAAACCCTTTAAATGTTCCCCAAATTATAACACCAGAGTCCAGCTCTATCGATTGACATCATGGGTTATGACCCCCTCTCTCTCAAAACCCCTATACCCGGGGTATTTTTCAGCGCTCTATCGATTGGCATCATTCGTTTTGACCCCCTATCCTACCCCTCCCCACTTTGTGGGGCTACCTATTTTTTCACTCTCGAAATATTTTCGGACCCCGATTTGAGGGCTAAGGAGGGGAAAAACACCCCCAGACCCCTCCCCTTTTTCGGATTATTTATTACCAATGATGCTAATCGATAGAAGACTGAAAAATAATCCGAAATAAAATGTCTTACATCCGTAAGATGAACTTTTCCGCACTGTGATCCACAACATGCATTTATTACGTATCTTTTACCGTAAATATGAATTCATGAGAAAACTGAATCTGATATAAGTTTTGCGATACAAATAATTTTTGAACGACTTTTCAATGCCTGTATGATATCGTAATCATGTGAAAATTTGCAGATGTTATTTTTTTCACAAAAAGCTAACATTCTGAAAGTTTGAAGAAATTTCAATACAATTGAGTTTTCACACAAAATTTTCGTTTTTGAGCAAAAAATCCAAAATTTTGTTCGGGAGGTACCCATAATTTGCATTGAAATCTCTTCAAACTCTCGAAATGTTATTTTTGCGTGAAAAAAATAAGCTGTGCAAAGTTTCAGCTCATTACGATATGATACAGGCATGGTTTTCATACAAAAATCAAATTTTTTTGAAATTTTTGTATAAAAAGTGTGTCGAAAATCATTTGTATCGCAAAACTAACGTCATATTCGGTTTTCTCGTACCCAAAAACCCCCCAATACACATTTTTGAGTGTTAAAGTATACATTAAATATCACTTTTGGAAGAAAAATTGAATTTTTCCCATGGATGGCCATGGGCATCACACCAGACATGACACGTCACTCTATCAACCAAAGTCGCTCAAATCTAATGGTTTCTATTCCTCGGCACCCCTCATACTGTGAAGTCAGATTTTGAATTACTTTTCTTGTTTGAAAGTTATTGCGTTAACAAATTTTTGCGTACAGGATACAGGGTACAGGACGCACATACATTCGGACATCGAAAAATTGACTGATTCGTGTTCCCTGGCTCCTAAAACACCCAGAAAACACATTTTTTGAGGGTGTTAATTTTTCCGACCCCCAAGACCTTAAATTGGGGTCGAAAGATTCAAACCAGAACACCCCCCTAGGGGAGGGGTGCGAGAGGGGGTCAAAACCCATGATGTCAATAGATAGAGCTGGACTCTGGTGTTATAATTTGGGGAACATTTAAAGGGTTTCTACATTTTCATGCCTTGAGAACTAGCGTTGACACGTTTTTTTGACAAACATTTCAAAAGGGAACCCCCAAAGGGGGGGGGGGATATGGGGGGTGTCAGACAAAAAAATGAATGCCCCTAATCGATAGAGCACACTTTTTTACATATAGAATGACACTATTTCCGGAATCATTAGCTACCAGATGCTTACGTTCAAAATTGATTCAATTCTACCCCCCTGTGTCCAGGTATGCTGTCAACCGTTAAACTAAACGACTTTAAGCAATAAGTAATCGCCTTAAAAGAAAAAAAGAGAATGAAATTACTACATACCGGTGGCATTACATTTCACCGAAAATGGTTGATTTTCGATACCCTCCAATTCCATTTCGAATGGTTGTATCTTTGGCGGTACTATGACCTCAACGCGAATATGACGTTCAATAAATTCACCGGTCAGAGCAACAACTATACACATATAAATGTCATCGTCTGATTCTTGTATATTGCGCACCAAAAGACCTTTCGTTTGAATTACATAATGGTCACCACTTTTAATCTGACCCCAAGATGAGAGATGGAAAATTTAAATTGAAAAAACGTTCTAGTTGATTATTATGTTCTACATACCGCATAACCATTGCGCAACCAAATCGTCATCGAAGTTTGATTAGCAGTGACATCACATTGAATGAGATAATCTTCGCCAGCGACTGCAAATTGATATTCTGGTGCATTTCTCACTGTGATTGCGACTATGTTTGAATAGAAAGAAATATAGATTATTCACAATAAAATACAAATGATAAACCACGTTGCCATCCACATGAGAAATGCCAATTTCTAGCATAAACACTTTTTTCATTAAAAACTTACCATGGGGTTCGATATCAACGCTAGTATCGAGAATACTTTTGATGTCTTAGATATTACTTACCATGCTGAGCAACATTGGATGGTTGTGTGGACCAATCCGAATATGCACTGACTTCAAGGCACACAAATAATAAAATAAAGGAACATTTTATATTCATTTTCAATATTAATCACACGTGAAGACGTGAACACCGTATAGCAAGTTGGCTTTAATAAATCAGGAAATTTTCTGAATTATTAAAGAATGAAAATACTTTCGTTTGCAATGAAATATACAATAATTCTGATTATCTACTTCATTTTGGACGGGATTTGACATGAAATTTGGCTTACATTTTGATAAAGACTTTTGATTGTTGCGTTAGGGGCTTATCACATTTTTTTGTCACAGTAAATATCTGACAATATATTTATTAATAATTAAATAATAAAAGATTCTTTAATGATTCAGTCATATCAGTCTTAATTCCGAGCACTAATTGAAGTTTCTGACAAGGTTCGTCACAAATCATAATTTTGTGTTTAAATACCACCAGTCTATATATTTTGAATGCATCTGAGATATCGAAATATTTGGATATTTAACGCTTATTTTAATTCCATTTGTTTTGAATAGTGTTAAAATTTGGATTTGTGAAAATCTTTTCATATGTGCAATATTCAAAAGCGCGACTAGCCCCTAGGTGTTGCGATGTGCTTACTTCCAAAATGTGAAACATTCTTTTGACTAGCTGTAAAAAAGTGAGATTATGCTATCATCATTCTATTTTACTACTACCACTACTATTTGGCTTTTTGATTTCATATTTTTATTTGAAACTTAAATAAGTTGAACTTACTTCGTTTTATGTGTCACAGGTCGCACACTTAAAAATTAAGGTACCAGGAAACGAACCAAACAAATTTCTTATCACTGCTCATGATTTTTCTAGAAGCCGTTTGTTGTTTCATGAAATCAAACGTTAAATTGAAATGATTGAAAGTATTGAATTATTAATCATGTTATATTTCATACTGATGTGTACAATGTACATATTCGATGTATTTTATAAAACAGTAATGCCATGTTCACAGAATATTCAGTAATATAGATGACATAAAATCTTTATTACGTGAATTGGAAGTAAAAAAAAGACATGCTTTTCTCATTCTGTAGCTTCATAAATCACACTATCTAAAATAGTTGACATCCAATTACTATTTATATCGTTACAATACTCAGCACGATCAGAGGTGAAATATTTAGTATAGTAAAAGAGCAAAGAGATTTACGAAGTTTTGAACTCTTATCTAGAGTCTCCAAGTGTTATCTCAATGATTCATCATACATTTTATTGAGATTCAAATTTCCATATTCAAAAGAAAGTTACATATTTATACCATAAATAAATTAAATATACGGTTAGAAATCGATCATTATAATTTCCGAAGAATTCAATTATTCATAAAATATGGCATCACCTATTCACCTAGTCAAATAAGAATGTATAAATGTTATGGCATTTCGCGCAACACGCAAAGTATATATTTGATCTTCTAACAAAATGCGTTTGTTGATTTGTAGCGTTTCAGCTCTTATTCTCACATTTAATGTAAGTTGCACGTTTTGTAGGAATAAAAATTTTAATTTTTCCTTAGAATATTGGATTTTCCATACTTTGCGTTTTCAACTACAAATTACTTCAATGTTTTGTTTGTTTTTTTTCCATTTGCAGTTTATTTCTTGCACCCAAGTTGACGATGAATTGCAAGCTCTACGGAATGCCGGTTTGGCATCATCTGTCATTAACAAAATAAACAATATATTGTCTGAGGATGGTTCAAATTCAAGCACACAATCAAGTCCACAAGACAGTTTGCCAAGGCAATCAAGTCTACCAGAGGTCGTTGTTGAAAACTCAGAACCAAGCACAAGGGGAACTAAGCCTGACACTTCACCACATGATTTTAATTGTTTTTTCACTTTGGATTTTGATCAAGTGTCCAACATTCTAAACGAACAAAACGAAATGGAGAAGCAACTCAAACATTTCGGCAATAGTCTCAACGATAGTCCCAATCAGATTAATAAGCAAGAATTAATGGAAATGTATAAAACTTTATCACAATATTTTTCAAATGCATCGAATTCAATGTGGCCAATGATAAAAGGTTCAATGGAAGATGGTAAACAATGTTGTGAACATCTCAGAACTACGTTCAATCAATATTTATCAGCCAATATGGATCCGGAAACATATGAAAAAATGTCGCAGGCCGTTAAACAAAATGAACAATTGGAAGCCAAGCAATTTGTGGAAATAATCAAAATCACACACCAATTCAAGGATATGATTGAAAAGTACACGAATGATATGGATGAAATGAATAGAAATTTGGAGTTGTTACGTGAACTTAAAGCAAAAAAGCAACAACAATTGCCGAAAAAAAAATCGATTGATATTGTTAAGGATATAAATAAGGTCGTTAATAAATTTAAAAAAGAAGAAGTCAAGAAAATCACGAAATTTTTGGGTAAGGTTAAAAAAACCGCCGAACAGAAATGCCCGAATCCAAATGCTGTAAAGAAAGAAGTTGTGAAGAATGTAAAAAACATTAAAAACATCAAACCATTGAAAAAAATATTCGGGAAAAAGAAATAATCGATGGTTAACGACGATGATCGGAGATATCGAAAGTGTGCGTTGAACATATGAATAGATAAGTGACAAAACAACTTCTAATCTTGATAAACACATAATAAATTCAAAATTGACTCACACAACAACGCTTATTTTTGCTTATTCTTAAAAATGGACGTACTTTTTGGTCTATAAAATTAAAGTGGTAAATATCAGACTGAATTAAATTTCAATTTAAATCAAATAGTTGAAGTCCATTCATACATCGCCTTGTGAACTGGAAATTGTTGATGAATGAAGTTGATTGTTTTGCATCTCCAACATCTCCTCATAATCGGTTTTGGTTAACATCTCAAGTTGTGGTTTTGTGCTTACCTCATACGGTATCAGTCTCACACGCTTTTGCTTATCTTCTGGAAGTGATTTTATAACATCGCAAATAAACATCGTTTTTGTTTCTTCAAAGAAATAATGTTCTATCAATGATGAATGAATAAATATAAATGCTTAGCTTATTCAATGGCATGTGTTTCTGGTGAAATAAAACACAACGATTTTATAATATAACTTTGACAAAGTGGACACACACAACTACATAACGACTTTATAAGGAATCACTTCAAATGACATAAAAAAACAGACTTTTTTTATTGATATACTTTTAATTATTAAAAATGTATTAAAAGCTTAAATAGATAAAAGTGACGAGTTTAATACATACAAGAAGAGTCATAGGCCATGTATAAGAATTTATTTCGAGATTTTTAGAATTTACACTTTTTAAATTCATTCTATTCTTATTTTACATAGTCTTTTTTAAAATTACAGTTTTTTACGCAATAATTTTTCTCATTTATAAATACTTTCGGGTGTATATTTATAATACCTTCATTTTACAGCAATTTTTTTTGTTAGTGCGATCGTATATAAATTAAATTGTACTTTGTTCAAGTCAAAATCAAACACAGTAAGAAAATAACAGCCGACGCTATACGCAAAACCGACTGGTACGTGCGCTCATACGTTTTTATATCTTTTACATCTAGTGACCATACGATTTTTCGACTGATTCGTTACACTTTGTGCGTATCTTCGCACGTACCAGTCGGTTTTGCGTATAGCGTCGGCTGATATTTTCTTTCTGTGAATATTTGTTTTAAAAAAAATGTCACAAACGAACGAATAACGGTGTCCAACACTTCCGTCCTTCTCGAACTTTTTCAAAGTCTCTACCTTTTTGGAATAATATTCGCTGAAAATTGAAAAAAAGAAAGAAAATAAACGAAATAAAAGACATGTACGAGTCCATTTTTCTGCATCATTCAAATGTATTTTTTAAATGTTTTTAATCGAGGTTTTTTATTTCATCTAAGGCCATTTAAAATATACAAATATGTTTTGATAGTAGATTTCAATATTTAGTTAATTGTCTTAACTGTTTTTTTTTGTTTAATTTCTTACGATGATACAGAACATTAGTTAAATGATTTTTGAGGAGATTTGTGAAACATAAGAATTGTCAACGATTTAAATTAAATCCAATTCATTTATAATTATAATAACAGAGATATAAGATCGTTTTGACGGTAACAGAAATTATTTAATCCACCATCGAATTAAAAGTGAACTGAGTTTGAACTTGATTAAATAATATTGGTGTAATTTAAATGAGCACCAGAAATGATTGATTTTAAATAATCAATGATCCAATCCATCGTTGATGGTCACATCCGTAAGCTCGCCACCGTTTCATTTTTATCTATATTGTTCAGATTTATTAAAGCTTGATTAAATTAGAGAAAAAATGGGAGAGTGCACTAATAAGAGGAGAGTCAGCAATGAGAAGGGTGCCTGTCTTGAGAGATGTCTTGTGGAAACGAAAACAAATGTGTGTGTGTAGGTTTTTTTGTTCGTTTCATTGAAGTCTGTTGATAAATTGTTTGAGCATTCTCCTACAGAGAAAAATGGATTTAATGTCAAATATATGTTAAATGTGAGCGCATCTCTGTACTATTTGCGCGATTCACATTGGGCAAAAGCAATTTATAAATATGTTTTTTATGAATTATGCTGCAATTAATTAGCAATTCTATTTAATTGTTCTATGTAATGCTATATGTGTTGTGTGTATGTGAAATTTAGCGCACTTAATTTGATCGATTCCAGAGCATCTTGATTTGCTGCTGCTCAGCATATAGCTGAGAGCTGAGAAATGCTGAACTCGTGCGGCTAACGCATACGAAACGGATGGCACGCACACATGCATTCTCCCCGTTTAAACGGTTATAAACAGTTGATTGGATGTTCAATTCAAAACTAAAAACTTAGTAACCAGTTGAGTTTGAAATTGTGTTGCGACCGACATATGAGAAGCTGCGAGAAAAACATCACGTCGCATCCCTCGTTATTTTGCTTACGTAAGTGAAAGCAAGAGATGAGATGCGACGTGCTGTTTTGCTCTCAGTCTTTCATATATTCTGAAAGTGTACGTCTAACGCATACGAATCGGATGCACGATACATATTCCCCTTTCACTTCGTATGTTCGCTGGTATAGTGTGTAACCGTTGTACCGGCAATAGCGTCAACGGCAGCACATACGAAGCGAAAGGGGAATATGTATCGTGCATCCGTTTCGTATGCGTTAGACGCACGAGCTCAGCATTTCTCAGCTCTCAGCTATATGCTGAGCAGCAGCAAATCAGGATACTCTGATCGATTCACACTTTTACTATTCTTTGATTCAATAACTGAACCAAAGTTCACACACGAATTTTGTGAATTCCATTTTTACACACTTATCCGCGAATGGATGCTCTGTGACCAAACGGTTCTCTTTTTTTTTCAAAGCTTATTGCTAACATTTTTCAAATGCATGATTTTTTTTTATACAACTATAATATTTTAAAAATGTTTCTTATAGCTGAGCGTAAACTTGGATTTCTTGATGGAAACAGTCATTTTTCGCAATTCATGATTTAAACTATTCTTCAGCATAATAATGTACATCAATTCATGTTTGTTAATTCAATGTTCTTTATTCTTTTCATTTGCTATTTATTGTAACTCTCTTTAGTTTTACAGCTATCTTTGTTTTATTTTAATTTCATTTTTTTTAAATATGAATAAGTAAAGCGTTCGTAGTATACCAAAGCGTTTAATTTCGACAAATTTTCATGTTTTCGGAGCATTGGCCGCATGACAATCAATGCAATCAATAATCGCAAAAATCTTATGCATACCGATTGCCCGAAAACTCGTCGAAATTCAATTATTACCATTTTTGTTTAAATTAATTTGTTCGAAAAAAAAAATTATTACGATGATGCATTTAGATTGTTTGCTCTGTTGTTATTTTTTAATTTCTTCTTTTAAACTGTCTTACAATCTATATAACGCGCGGTTTATTTTGTATCTCATTCAGATTTTCTCAAATGTGCAAATATTTATCGAATTCGGAAAATTTTGAAATTTTGTGAAGCAACCTAACTTTTGTTCGAAACGAATTTAAAATCACAAAATAAATGTGTCCTTTTTATATCGAATTTAGCACATATCTGTATAATTGAATTGTGTTGATACACGCGCGCTAAACCTATGCCTAGGGAATTGTTAATGAAAAAAAAAATAATCGAAGAAACTTCAACAGCGCAAAAGAAAATACGAATTTTTTTATTTTGAAAAAGAACTATGTACTGGAATTCTATATGCATACTGCACAACTTAATAAATGAAGCAAAGATTGATGTGTGAATTTATATTTCCGACTTTCCACATGCGAGACTGCGTTCACAAAAGAGATAAACCCAACAAATTACTTTAGGATTCCTATTGAAAAATGAATTTGTAAGGTTTCCTTATAAAATCGCAATATTTTAACAGAAATCCTAATAAATTGGCGCGCCCAAACGTCGAATCCAACTTTACTGTATTGAAACAAAACACGTTTTATTATTTAAAGATTTCCTGATAAAATGGTCTCATATTATAAGGAAACCTTACAAATTAATATTTTAATAAGAATCCTAAAATGATTTGTCAGGTTTCTTATGTGTTGAACAATATATATTCCAGTTTCATCAAGTGTATGTGCATCATTGTAATTAATGATCTTTAACTTCTTCTTGTTTGTTTTTTTTTGTTATTGTTACTACATAAATATATTGGAGATTTTGTGGAAAAATAAGAGAAAATGAGAAAAAAAATAAATCAAATTTTATCTGTTATTATCGTAAAAAGAACTAGATATTATCTATTATCAATACTAATTTTTTCATGTTTCTTTATATTCATATTTATGAATAAGTAGACTAACAATTTCTTTTGATCCATACCAGCTTTTTTTTATTTGTATTCTTCAATTTTCAATAAATTCATTTTCTTAAAATGATTTTTCTTTAGTTTAAGTTTTTTTTTACTTTACCCTTTATAATTTTAGTTAACACTATGGTACTAAATTTACGTGATAACATTTAAATGTACATTGTACTGCAGAGAGCTGTTTTGAGGCTATTTTGTACAAATTAGACACTTTAATTGTTTGTTTTGTTTTTAATTTACTTGTTGACGAAAAAAATTGAAGAAAATTTGACTGTTTTGAACATTGAATTGAAAGAATTAAATTTATTCTTAACCGTTAATGGAACAAAAAAAACGAAATTTTTTAATTCAATTGAACCAATTTCTGTGTGGGGGGGAGGGGACGGTTGGCTGTTTAAGTTTGTTATTTACAAGTTATTTGTTTATATAATGCGTTTGAGAAATAGTTCAGAAACAAAAAAATCCTCAGATTTCCTTGAAATAAAAATGTTGTCTCATATTATATATTGAAATTAAAAAATCCAAATTGTATCATTTATATACAGATTTCAATTAAGACAATGGGAGAAAATTCCTCTAATTCACATAAATTTGTTTCATTTTTTTTGGTATAGCCCGTTATGGAATCCATTTATAAATTAGACTGATTGCCATGGATATATAATCTCTTATACCATTTTTCACTTTTCTAATTCATAAATAAAATTATAAATATATATCTATAAATTGGTTGTTTTAAAAACACGATTAATAACAATTGATGGTGATTTGTGTATCGCATTATAAAAATGCATTATGGATTCGTTTTTTTTTTCTTGGTTTGCGATAATGAGAATTTTCCATCAGTAGAGAACATTTTGGTCTGATTTCTGGATAAATTGTTTATTTCAACATTTTAAACAAACAAAAACTTCCTGTTTTTTCAATGTATAGATTTTGTACATAAAGCTGCATTCGTTAATGTTATGCATGATATATATATTTTTCCCTCAGTTATTGAAATAAAGTCTAGTTTAATATAGCAAACAAAAAATTGGTTTATAAATTCAACTAGATGTCCAATTTTGTATGGTCTATTATTTATAACTAAATTATAATATCTATTCTCTGTTCATGCTTTAGTTTTGTCCCATTTTCTGCATTCAAATGATTAAAAAGAAAACCGGTGTTATTCAATGCAAATAGTTCGTATTGTGGCTGTTCTCTGTCAGTTATATAATTCTTGAGTAGCATAATGGAATTTTCTATGAAAGAAAAAGAACATGAGTATGTCAAGCCAGTGTGATAGCGATTTGTTGATGATCGTCATACGAGGTGTTTGTGTATCCAGTTTGTGTGTATGTTTTTTTTTTTCATTTGTGAATAGCGATTGTGAAATATATTTTTTTTTGCGCACCATAATTTCACATAAATAACTAAGCATCAAATCCAGTTCCAGATTGTGAATATATATGTATATGCTCTAAATCCATTTATTTTTACTAACTGCGGAGCGTAGCCTACGACCCCACATGAGGTTATATCATACAATCGTTCCTTGTAGATGTTGTGGCGATTGAGCTGAACGGACTGATTGTTGGCTATCGTCCGATTGTGGCACTTGTAATGGTGACATTTGACTTTCAACCGTGCTCAATCCTAATGATGAACCGCCAAAACTTGACGGATTTATGCCACCGCTGCTGCTCACACATGGTACACCAAGCACTGGAAGTGGTTCTTCAGGTGGCGTTACCTATGACGCGGACATTGTCGTTGCGTCACAAACAAAAAAAAATACGAATGAAATAAAATAGAGAAGAAAAAAGAGAAAGAGAGAGAGAGAGGAGAAAAAACAATGAATACATTTTGTTTATTAGCCAATTGGGAGACATTTTTATCGTCTCCATTTGTAACGTTTCTTTTCTCTTTTAATAAATTGGTGATTTTGTGGATAGTGGTGTCTATGTTTGTTACCAGTGCTTTTAACTGCAATTTATGATGACATATGAGGGCATGGTCATGGATTTCTTTCTTTTTTCAGGTGATCACAGTTACTTATTTGGTTTAAATTCATTGAAACAAGAAAACTATTGACTAAATGAAATTGTGACAAACAATTGCCGCTGCTAGTTTTTCACGAGTGTGTAAATAAATTTCCTGTTTCAATCTACATTTTTCATCTGTAATATCTAAATCAAATAGGTGCTTTAAACTAGAGGGAAATAACAGTGCCAGTAGCAATATTTATTCGTCGATTTGATCATATATAGTTGCAGTAATTTTTGCATTTCTTTGAATACTTGCTAGAATTTGGGCTACAAATCCATAAATAGCTATTTTCCTCTATGTTTTGAATGCTATTCCAAAAAAAAGTGTTGCTTGTGTGTGTTTGATATGTGTTTTTAATAAAATATTTATATATATATGTGTGTGTGAAATCATACTTGTTGTATTTACACAATTATTCGTTGGAAATAATGTGATGCGTGAAAATGCATCAACACCAATCCAATGCATATATCCTTGATTTCGCATGTGATAACGTGTGTCAACGAAAATGTGATGGTACACGATACACACGAACACGATTTGGTGAATGATCAATATTTCTTTCAATGTTTTATTCAGAAATGGAGAGAACGGAATTTAATAAATTCAATTTTATACACGCAAGAATTGAAACAAAAAAAAAATTGTTGTAATTATAGTTATTTGATCATAAACAAAAACAATTTGACACAAAACAAAAATTAAATAGAAAAAACTGCTGTTGCGATATGGTGTAATAAAAATGGACGAATGAAAAAGAAATGGAATAAACATCATACCTCAAGGCCAATACTTCCATTCAATGAGATTTTGATGGGATTTGAATGGTTGGTGGCTTGCATTAAAGTTGTAAAATGCGATATGCCAATTTCTTCAAGTGACGACTTGCGTCGACCAACCGATACCCCAATATTTGGTAATCCCTGACGCAGCGAACTTGAACGCCTTAACAAAATGTCGCTTTCGATCTAAAGATTTAAAACAAAAAATCACGGAGAAAGCGAGCGAGGGAAAGAGACACAGACAAAATAACGAAATTTAATTGAAATTTAGCATAAAAATGTGTACAAAGATTGTGTTTCATCGTAATGAAGCGTCAGTTTGTTGAATACTTACGCGCAGTGAATTACTTCTGCCGCGTGTTTGACCAGCAACCGTTGGGCTATCAGGTAAGGAAAGAGAATTGGATTTATTTTGAACAATATATGGTGATGATGCACGTGCAGAAGATGGCAATCCATACCCAGGCAAATTCTGTAAAGTATTTAAACAGAAACCGGATCCGCGTCGTGATGCTGATGCAGCCGCTTGCGCCATATTTAAATTCGAGCAATAAGAAATGTTTGATTTGCGTCGTGAATTGTGCCGTTCGAATGTTTTTTTTGCCGAAAAAGGAGACGGTCGAACCAAATATCTATATATTTTTTTTCGCACAAAAAAAAATAATACGAATATGGTACGAACCAAAGTTTTAAAAACAAGCGGACGAGAGAAAGAGCAAAGAGCAAACAATGGTGGGGAAATTGAAAAAAGTTCAAAGGAAAAATAAAATAAATAAGCAGAAAAAATCGAAAGAGAAAAAGAGAAAAGATAAGAGAATAAATGGTTTTGCATTAGTATTTTTGTATCATTTTTTTTGTACCAATATTGGCGGAACGGCTACACATTTATTAAAAATAATTTCATCATGCATATTCAATTTTTGCTTGAAAAAAAAAAAAATAATCAATTTGATAAAAGCAGTTACAAATTTGAATGTGATAAAAATGACTCTTACATAACATCGCCTTCTTGAAGTTTTAAATCACAGCTGGGATTGATAATTACATACGATAAGCTATTTCGTTTTTCGCTAACATCATCGTAATCGATAGTCGGTAAGTTCAGTGAATCCATACGCATTCTAACTAAATTAGCTATTTCGGCTCGTTCAATTTGTTGTTTATGGATTTCGCGTGCTTCATCGTTCATATTTATCGAGTACTGAGCGTAAATTATTGATTGAATCAAAATGCAGGTTCATAGCAAATGGATTGGGATGAATGAAGAAAATGGAGAGAAAACAATTAGCATATATGATTTATGTTGGTTTGCATTCATTATTGTTGTTCTTTTCATTTTGAGTGAAGAAAACAAAGAAAATCATTTCAATTAATAAAAAAAAAACTTAAATTTAATAACCTTAATATGCGAGCGGTTCTATCTTATTACAAGTAAAATATTTTTTAGAGACATTGCAATATTCGTATCGAGTTTGGCTTGAATTATTAATTTTGTTTTACTTTTTAAGAAGTAACATTTTTGCAAAAAGGAGTAGGTGAACTTTTTTTTAGAGCACCACGGAGGTACTTTTCTTGTTAGTGCTGCTATTTATTGAATTCAGGTGTGGCATTTGAAAAATTATCAGAGACTGTTTCTCAGAGCATATATATGAGGAGTCAGAGAAGCAAGTGCTCAGTGCTCTGCCTCTCCACCTTCTCACAGCGCTTCTCTTCGCATTTATTGCTTTGAGAAACGTCTGGCCAAAAATTACATTGAATTGGTGCAAATAAAAGCTCAGAGTCTATAAGTCTTTATACCATTCTCCACTCGCAGTAAAAGCTTCAGCACAATAAAAGCTGTTCACAACATTCAGCTCACAATTCCTGTTAAGTTGCCAAGATTTTTTCGCAACCTTTTTTTGGTCTTCAGCTTTTGTCTCTGAACCGGTATTCTTCTTTTTTCCGGGGTTTTTACGACAAAAATTCCATCAATTTGCTAGGATTTTTTTTTATTGGCGAATTGACTTTCCTCCACTAAAATTTTGAGTATGTTTCCCAATATAAAATGAATGCTAGTGGAACTGGTCATACAAAATCATTACAAAAAGCTCTTATAAATTCCCAGTCGTTTCTGACAGAGGGCTCACATAATCACCAACTCCTTTTGTTTTGCACCGATCGATTCAATTTTTAAAATGAATAATCAAATTTTTGTCGCCAAATCGTTAAGCATTCAAAAACTCGAGTATTTCTAAAAAAATCGATACGAAAACTACTATTCTCCATAAATTTTAAAATTGTTTGTTATTTTTTTAATTTGAATTTATTGTCTAAAAGCGGTTATCATCGATTAAGTTCGAGATTTTTTTTGTATTCGGAATTAGAATCGATTTTCGAAAATTAGTCAATGCAATCAATAAGACCCATCATCCATTAACATAAATTTTAGTGTCAATCAAACGGCAAACAAATATAAAAGCAATACAACCAAATTACCAAAATAAAGAAGAAGAAGAAGAAGAAGGAAAAATAAAATGAGAGAGGCAGACACATTCCAAAATAGATTGGAAGTAACAAATATAATTTTTGTCGGTTGTTTTTTTGTTGGTAAGAAGTAGATGTTTTTAATTGAAATGGATGAGCAAAGAATTTGAGAAATGGAATGGGCGCATCATGAACGTATTGAAATGGAAAAGAAAACTAATTAATGTTGATATATTTTGTTTGTGATCAAAAAAGGGGTTAACACAAAACGTTAATTCAATGTATGTTGTTGTTTAAAAAAAAGAAAAAAATGTTAGTTGTTGTGTATAGTGGTTTTCTTTTCTTTTTTATTCTAAGAGAAGCTATCATCTATCTATGTATCTAGGCGCTAACAAAACAATCGTTCCATTTTCTTTAAGTTTCTAGTACTGTAATGGAATAAAAGAAAAGAATGTGTTTTGGGAGAGGAAAAAGCGATTATTACAATAGATTCAGATGAAGTGTAGTGAGTGTTGCCAAACAAGCGGCTAAAATAACTTGCAAGATATATATGTATTCTATGCTTATGATGGTTGGTATGGAATGTGTTTAACCTACTTACCGGCCAGCCCAACAAATTGGAGCTTTTTGATCATGAACTTTGTTCGTTGTTGTTTTCTTTTTTGTGTGTAATTAATTATGAAGAATTGGATTCGATAACGGGGTAAACGAAAAAAGTAGAGCGCTTGCTCCATACAATTTTAAATTTATACTGGATGGATGGTATCAGAAGGGAAACAAAAATCGCCTAAAATTGAAACATTTAAAAATAATAGACGTTGCCCGAAGGGTATGCATGGCGAAAAGTTTATCAGGCGGCGATTATTCGTGGGAACATCTCTAACACTAAATGCATACGACAATATTTTTTGTTTGTTCAATTTTTTTGGTTGTTTTAGTGGAACAGAATATTCCAATTAAAACGGGAAAACCAATTGAAACAAACATGTGATAATATGTGTGAAAAATTCGTACTAATTCCGTTGGTATAAATCGATCCCGGATTCGACGAAATCGACTGATTTTGTTGAGCATTCTTGTTTGTTTCGGTCACTTTTGTGTATCAAAGTTATAGGCAAAGACTACGACAGACAAATCGGTACTATCTACTTACTGCAGATCCTCTACGATTTTCAGTACATCCACCTAAACATGTAGTAGATTTTGAGTGTATTGATGGTCGATAGGTAACTTCACGTAGACGACTGCTGTCAGTTGTTCCTCGTTTTGATGATGCTCCAGCTTCTTCATCGTACTGGATTTTGGTTTTTACATATATTTATATTTTAATATCTATTATGATTCTATCGTTTGTTTGTATTTTTGTTTCGTTATGTAAATATAAACTACAAATTTTTTGCGCACACAGTAGTGTGAAAGGGAAAGTTTGTTATTTTGGCTTTTGATGTAAAAGCCATAACAAATAATGGAGTTAAAAAGGGATGTGATTTAAAAATCGTTCGCTTTTCAAAACATTCGTAAAAAATGGCGGTTTGGATTTTCTACATAATCGCCAGTCCCATCGGTTGGCCAAGCACGTTCCTCTAAACTTGAGGGAAGGGCATGCATCAATTTGGTGGTGAATTTCTCAATCGACAATGGGTACAATAATAACAATAACAGAAAGAACAGAATTGAATGCTGAACATTTAACAACATTGAAATCAACTCAAAAATCCATCATTGCATGCGAATTTGGTAATTTTAGTTGCATTCAAACACAAATGAACACGAACTCAATGGTTATGAAATCAGCGATTGATTTGGTTAGTTTTACAATATTTTTTTTTTTTGTGGCATAATACAACGAGAAATAGAGAGCGGGAGATCACAATGAAATGATCGATCAAAAGCTATGAAATACATGAAAAATGCACTCGAAAGTCATTCCTGTAATGGGAGGATTCCAATTCTTTTTATGAACTTTTCCAGAAAAGCTCCGTATTATTGTCTATGATTTTTCGAAAATAAACTATATGTATTCTATTATGACAATTGGTGTGCAGTGCAAAACATATAAAACATTTACCGTGGTGGATAGCGTGTCTAGGATAGTGTGAGCTAATTTTGTCTAACAAGAAAAAGCAGGTGAACTTTAAAACACATCGCATCATCATGCAAAAGAAAACAAAACACACCATAAACATACACACACACATTGATTTTTATTTGATATGGAATTCACGACAGCAAAACTCAAAAATGATTTTACACATAGAAAAAGTTGGTTTTAAAATCAAAATCAATAGCAAATTGAAAAAAAATCCAGAAAAATCAAAAAAACATTCACACACCCAAACTCAATTAAATTTTTTTTCATTTAAAAAAAAGGTCAATTTGTTCCCTGTTTTTACCGTTTACCATCGAAACTCGATTCTAGCCTTTCCATCAAACTCAAATGCAATTTACGGTAATTTAACCACCGAATGTATTCTCAATAACAAAATAGTCTAGAACCAGTTTTTTTGATGGTAGACGGAGACAATATGTTTGGATTTTCATTTGCTGGTTAATTTATTTTTGAAAACTTATTTTTGTAGGAAAAAAAAAAAACAAACAAGAAACTTTGACTCACTGCGTGCGTGTGCGACCAAAAAACGGACCCAAATTTTATAAATGTATTTTTTTTTTCGTTTACGTTTCTGTACAAATATCGTGTGTTTTATGGTAAATATGTAAAATTCACTCTTATTTCGTCGATTTCGTTTCAAAATTATTTTTGGCTATTATTTACGTCGAACAAAAAGTGGCGGTAAACAAATTCATCGTTTACAAAATCGATAGACGATTTTCGCATATTATTTTTATATTTCTCTTTTGTTTAGCTTGTTTAAAACTGCTGGAAAAAATGCACTACGCAATTAAATGCTTGAAATTATGTTGAAGTGGCAGTATTGCAAATAGCCGAATCAAAAGTTTGTATTTGGGTAAAGATTTAAAATGTAGAAAAATCAAAGACTGCAGATAAAACATAGAAATGTTGGATAGTAATTGAAGAGATGAAAACAAAATATTTACTAACTAAAGAATATAGAAGGCATTTTGGTGGAAAATTATAACGAAAAATCAAATGAATACTACGCATAGCTTCTAAAGTTGGCGATCCATGGGTTGTTGCCAAATTTTTCAAATTATCAAATGAAGGTGATTCGGTTATGCCCGGAAAATGGACAAGGTGCTCACTTTTTTGGACGAAAAAGCGTAAAAAATTGAAAGAATTTTCGAAATGGTTTTTGATTCTACTCGGATCAAAATTGACTACGGGGGAGAGAGTGTGTGGAGAAGAATTTTGGGCCAAAAATCCTGTCTCTCCTCAAAAACACAAGGCAATTGAAAGAATTGACACCCCGATAAATTGATCACCAAAACAGGTCCTCACTTTTCGACATTTCTTAAGGCGTAATTTCTCCATCCGTTCTAGAAGGGTTAATATGGCCCCTCGGACCCCTGATCAGAAGCTATGATACTACAACAAATTTATTAAACAGATTTGAATTGCTTTAACTTATGACTGCGAACAGAGTGTCTACTGACACAGGATATGTTGTCACTTCTGCAAGAATATAACTGTATATATGCCATTCCAATAGTCAAAATTGTGACCAAAGATTGAAAGCGATTGAAAAGGAAAAACCAAGTCGATTTTGCTCTCGAAACAAAATGTGAAACAAATGGAAACGTTCTTAAATTGATCTGTACTGATCAAAAATTCACTTATTCGGCGTATGATGCGGCGCAAGTGTGTATTTGACATACAAATTATTATCGATACACTCCGTTTGCTTCGTTTTCTCAAAAACCAAAAAGTGAAACGATTTTAAAAATCTGTTTGTATGAAGAATTTCGACATGGCCTCCCGAACGTCGGTAATTTATTGAAGACTTTTTTCTCGAATATAGGCAGAAATTGATCGAATTAAAATTAATAAAAAGACACAAATAGCAAAGTGTGATCCAAGATTTTTTTTTATTCGTGCATCTTAAGCGGTTGAATAAATCTTGGGCACTTCTTTGAACAAAATCTGTGGGTATAATAATGTGAAAAGAAATTGAAAATACAAAAAAAAAAACAATTTCGAAGGAAATGAAATCAAATATATAGTGCTACTGTAAATAACACGTAGAAATCAAATGGGATAACTAAATATTGGTTACTTCTTTTGATTTGAACAAAACAATTTGCAAATTTTAAGTATAAAAAGTGAAATAAAGGATATAGAGGTCGGACGAAATAAAAAATGATGAAGAAAAACCAGCTAATTGATACGGAACGGATCTGGTTCCCAGATATATACAAGATGCTTTCGAATCATTTCTCCTCCAATCGAATAATCAACAAAGCACGATCATTCCATTTATGGGCAATCATATTTATTTGTTTTTATTTATTTGTTTGGATGTGATTTCTTCAAAAGCTTGAATTATTTGAGTTTCGATGCAAATGAAAGTGGTGTGAAATTCAAGCGCATCAACTAGGAGCAAGATGAATATAGTTCGGATTTAAGTGGTGTGGACAAATAAGTAAAGAAGGAGAATACACATTTTATATTGTCCTTTTGAAACCCATACTTGTTCTGTCCAAAATACCGTGTGCATCGTATTGAATTTTACAAATTAATCGATTGGTTTATCGATAATGAATACGTACTAAATAATCTCGCCACCAATTAATTTAGTACATGGACGAAGTGAAAGTAAGTGCGATATAATGTAAAATGATGGAATTATTAAAATTAGAGAGAAAATAGACAAAAAAATGGAATAGAGATATATAGCGAAAGAGCGGAAAGGCTGCATCAAATGTAATAATTATTTGATCTCACAAAAAAAAAAGAAGAATTATATAGACATGTTCACCGAGCGTTGAGTGTTATGCGAAAGATATAGAGAAAATTAGGCGTTTTCATTGATGACTGGAATTGGTTGAATGAATTTTTTGATTGGGACTCACCGATGGCCGCAATCGCACACAATGCTTCGAAAATGCTGAAAATGGTCTCCAACGTTCTTCGGGTGTGTTACTCACATGTGATGCATCGGCACTGCTTGTATCTTGTGTACGATAAATTCCGATTGGTATTTCATAGGTTGTTGAGCATAATTTTTGATATAAACGCCCATATGTACGAATCCACATATCATCTTTAGTTATTTTCATCTAATTGACAAATGAAATACAGCAACATGATTATTTTTGAACAAATGCAAAGACTGTTCCTCTGGGAGGAGGAATGGTGAAGAGACACATGAGGAGGATCAAATTTAATAAAAAAACATCTTTTTTTGGTTCAGAACATTTTCCTTCTCAATTGAAGAGGAACCTCCTCAATGATCTCCTTAACCAAAAAAGATATTTTTGTAATAAAAATGAATTTTTTTAAATCCTTCTCCTCATTTTCCACTTCCTTCTCCTCGGAGAAACAGTCCCTGGACGAAAAAACATGTCCAAAGTGCGAAATAAAATAAATCTGAATCAAAACGATTGTATACCGATGTCAGAAAACCACTACCCGGCGCTTGATCAATGCCTAATAATAAACGTACGAATCTTATCACATAATCTTTAACGAATGCTTGATACAGTAATGTGTCTAACATAGATGCACTAAATACACAGCCAGCGGCAAAGGGTAAGCGAAACATGTATGATATGTGCGATCCTCGCTCCTTCTCTTTCTGCAACGAGATCGAAATAAATTAAAACAGCATTCAAATTTGAATAAATTTTATAAAAAAGGCATTCGATTTCTCGGTTAAATTTCAACTAACCTTTTCCATTTTACTTAAGTGTAATGCGTATTTATCATGTGCTCGGAATTGCATGAATCTCATATTTGAGCTTTGAGATAGTTCCGTTATACTTTTGATACTTGGAAAGAATCTAAGAAAAAAAAATGATCGATTAAAAAAACCTCGGCGCAAGCTATTTCACAAAAACGATGACTAACTTGAACATATTTTGAACAGCGACAATTGTATTACAATCGGATAAACTATCTTCTTCGGCCGAATTTGAAAGTTCTTTATTAACGACGACAACATTTTCGGCCAATGTAATGCCACCGCGTAGTAAATCGTCCAGGCAATCGATTGAACCTTGCATCCAATAAACCAATGGAAAATAAGAGATGGCGTCTAAGAATGCAACATCAGGACGTCGTTCCAACAGCAATATGATTGGATTTAACGATGTTTTCGATTTGAAATGTGCTCGCAATGGTATTATAAAGTTATAAATCCCGTTTGATGCATAGTCCGCTGCTAAAATGATGGTTTTATTCTGCCACTGATATTCCTTTGCATTTCGATAGCTGCAATGTTCGCACACCTGTTACCAAATAAACCAATTAAATATTGTTTTCGTTTTTTAAAAACGATAGCAAGTAATATTAAAAAAGGAATTTGCCATTCGGAAATATTAGGGAAAAAAAATGTGGTTACCTGTGCCAGTTGCAAGCAACATAATGGTTTCTTCTCCTTCAACAAGTAGCAAAGTGTTGAACTAACCCCAATGAACGGCGACACCGGTGGAAAACCTTTCACAATCCTATTGGGAAACATAAATGCCGGCAGAGAAATAAACGAGAGTAGCGAGTCGGCGTTTCGCAGCACACGCACGTTCATTAGTAAATTGAATGAAATAAGTTGCGGTCAATGTCATAAAATTTGTTTTATAAGTAACTTTAAGCAAAAAAATGTCATTTTTTTAATAATCAAAGCAATATCGAAAGTAAACAACATTACTCCATTCCATAAAAATGAAGATTTATACTTCTCTGTACGTTTATTTTTGAATAAATTTTTTTCTATATTTAGAGAAATGTATGTGTTTTGTTTTTCACTTCATATGACGTTTGAAATGTCATACAAATAAATTGAATTTTGAATAGATCCATTTAAAATCAATGAAATATCGGATATAGATTTAAAAATAAATTGATGAAATGAAATGGATCGGTTTGAGGGTGAAAACACAAATTATACAAAATTCGTCATCATTTTAATGGATTTTCCTATACATTGAACAAAAACCAAACCAAAAGACATCTCATTCAAAAACCAAAAAAGCCGATCCAATTATTGGGTGCAATGCATTTTATACACATAACATATACAGATATCACGAATGCAGTTCTATTTTTTTTAAAGCCACGTAATATCAACAATTTTTTTTATTTCGCTTTCGCGTAACTCGCATATTTTGCATCAACAAAATTCAACACCATGCAAAATTGATGCACAAGCAACACATTCATAATTAAAAACATTTCTATTGACTATTTTGTTTTTTGTCCAGCTTCATTTGCGAACGCATCTTTGCAACAACATTGAGAAGCCATTACATAAAAACATCAACCAAAGGGATACACATCGATTAAATCTCGTCATTTGAATGCGGCATTTCTGCTGGTAATGTCGACCAATTCATTGGCATATCAAAACAGCTAGTCTTATTTCAAAAAAGCATTTATTTGCTGCTTCAAAATTGAGCAGTTGTTTTTTTTTTCTTCCACAAATCTATTTCTATTTACACTGCTGTCCAATCAACTCGCACACATTTACACCAAAATGAGTGAATAAAATAACAATGTCAGAGAAGAGAAACAAAAAGAACACCACAATCAAAATATGATCAAACAAATTAATCGAAAGATAATTTCAACTATCATATATGGTAAAACACATTGAAAAATGATGCATACATAGCCAAATTAGCACAAAAAAATACACATTTCTTTTTGATACGTTCAAAAACGGTAGATTCTGAATTTTGTAAAGAAAAAAAAAATGAACAATAAACTTGATTTGAAATGTGAATTGGATTGTTTTGATTCCCTTGACATTTGTTTTCGATTTTAAGCGTTAAATTGGATACTCAAAATGTCATGTTATCCATTTTCTCTGTCTCTCTATCTCTCTCTCTACCGTTTAATTCGATGGAACGTTCGAAAAAACATAACTATGGTGAATGAATAAAATTAAATATTAAATCAAGCCATCATGTAAATATATATATATTGAAATGGGAGGGGGGCGAAGGCGAATGATATGAGCGAAAACTTGTGTGTGTGTTTTTGTGTATGTGTTGTGTGTTCATCTCAAGATGAGATAAAAACATTGAGTATGAACAGCAACAGCGAGAATCGACAGATGGAAACAGACAAACTTACCGAGAATAGTCGACATGCCATGCAGGAGATGATCGTGGTTCATTGGGTTCGATGTGGTTATCGGTAGTGTTGGACGAAGAAGCAGAACTACTTCTATAACAACTATTTGAGTCCGTTGAACCGGAGCTCATGATCAGCGAATAGGTGCGTAAATGTATTGGCGACGAATTTACACCAAAATCACTACATAACATTCCATTCGAATATATTTTGTGTTTGTATATGTGTGGGTGGTGGCATTTTGTTGCAAATTTTTTTTTGGTTATTTTGTTATTCAGTCAATTAATAACACATTTTGTTGTGTGAATTTATGTGTGTGTTTAGCATGACGGTCAACAATCAAGCAAGTTTACAACAAAAAAGAAAACATGTTCACGTGGTCATTGTTTACGATTTTGTGATAAACGCGAGACAATTATTTTTCGAAATGGATAAAATAAATGAGTGTTTAACCAAGGTAGGCAATAGTAAATTAGAAATAATAAATATTCATTACATTATATTAACGTATACGTTTTTTTTAAATATTATTATTATTTTACACACACTCACAAGCACACGCATACCGGGTGGGTTTTTTTAGTGTTCGAACAGTAGTTTTGCGCGTATACACGCATACAATAATATTAATATACAAAAAAAAATAGTATAAGGATGATATACAGTGTTTTGTACATAATAAATTGATTTTGGGATTATTAACGTTTAATACAATATTCAAATTTGTTATACAAATTGTTGGGATAAAGACAGAAAAATATTTTGGCAGAAGGAGAAAAGAAAGAAAAAAAAACAAACAAGAATATATTTCTATTGAGTATATTGTTTTCTGAATTGAAAAAATGATGAATTCGAACCGAAAATGAACCAAATCCCAAATAAGGAGAACTTTTTTCGCAATTAAAACCAGAACAGTTGAAAGAAAAAGATAGTGTAGAAATGAAATGAAAAGGCCATTAAATTCTATTTTAAATAACAAATGCAAATCAAAAGTCTAATATTTTCACATTTGAATGCAATGATACAATAATTGGATTGATATGATGATAGGAGGCGATTTAAATCGATACACGAATTTCACATTTAATCGATGGCTAATATAAATGGATGGTCAAATTTGTAAATTCAATTTTGAATTTTTCGACATTAATAATTCAGTCACAGTGTCCATCACACTTTTTACGACTTTTAGAAATATTCGTTCGGTTTCGCCTTCAACAGCAAACGAACACTTGAGAAAACTGAAATTCTTATTTTGTATTCCCAGATTTGTTTTCATTTTTCAATCTAACCCGAAATTTCGTTTCCAAATCGACATTGAATACTGAATACATAACAATGTACGGAACACAAGTTGTCAGAAAAAAAGGATTTTCTCCGCTGTCAACGAAAATTTCCATACATTTCTCGATATCCTTTTCAAATTTAAGAAAGTTTTCTCAAATTTTGGGTGTGAGTACCGATGATATTGGACATGCTTGACCCGCTTAATTGGAAATATCAGATTCATTGTTAACTGATTTGAGAAACCCATTAAGGATATAATTATATACATATATGATAAATGGACAATATCGATTTCATTCCATTTTTCATTGTCGTATGAATTTTAGGTAAACAAACTTGTCAATTGTGCGATAATGAAGTATTGGAATTTGTCAATTGGGCGAACCTGTTGTTGTGTTTCTGGTTTTGTTGTTCGGTAGTGAATATTTAATTTTTTGGTGGAATGGGTGGCGTGTGGTCATATCGAACGATTTTCGATATGTATATATTTATTAAAATGCAATGAGCTTTTTCAATTCCCACAAAATGGAGTGGCCATTCAGGAGAAACATGTTTATGACTTTAGTAAAATATACAAATCATTAACATGGGATTATTGGTGAACAGCAGCCATCGAAGCCCACATCAATTTATTCAAAATATCAGTTAATTACACTTAAATTATACTCTATATTGTTTGATTGATGCGCTAGCATTGCAAGCAGAAATCGTAGCAAGAAAAAAAGAACTAGTATTATTGAGTGTATTTGAAAAGAAGAAGAGGGAAGAAAAGGTTATTATTAAAAAAGAGAATGGAAAAAACGAATTTTCGATTAAATTTCAGCGTTACCGTTGCCAAAAGAATGAATGGGCTCGGTAGGAACAAAAATGATGACGACGACAAAATTTTCGACACAAGATAAATGTTAACGAAAAAAATGTATAAAGAAACAAAAATCGAGCGCCTTACTTTCCTTTTGTCGTTTGAACCATAACAAAAAAAAGACGATGTCTTTTTGGCAGCACAATGGGAGCTTACATTAATGTAATCAAAACAAAACCAAAAAAAATACGAAAATAAAATTGCGAAAATTGGCAAAACATAAATCCAATTTCGAGTAATTTTCGTATGTGTGTGTGTGTTATGACAAAAAAGCAACACAAAAAGACGGGTGTCGCAAAATATTTATTGTTTTTTTTTTTTTGTTCAAGTAAGCAAAAATAGTTTGGACAAATTCATATGATAATTGATAAACAAGAGAAGAGACAGATAATAGAGAGATGTGTGGTGGTGGTAATTGTGTTAAACTTGGAGCTACTTACGCAATTTTTTCGGACGGCGAACGCCATGGGACATCATCGTCAAGTTCGTCTTCACTTTCATCACATTCATCGCCATCATCATTGCCGGAAATGCTAAACGATGAAGATGTAAACATGTCGGGAACGGGTAATATCGATGGTCGTCTACTTCCTGCAAATAATAAACATTTTTGCTTATTTTCCATCAAATTAACAATGCCAGCATATCAGTTTTCATTACAATATCGAATATCATGGTTTTTTTTTTTATCTCGACGAACGATTCAAATGAAGATGATTACCTCGTCGTTGATTTAGAATATCGGGACTTAATAGGTTTGGATTATTCGATGGTATTTCTAGATGATTTGCGGCTGATAATAAATGTGGCCCAGAACCTGAGCTACTCGCTCCAGCACCTGAAAATTCATTTTTTTTTTTTCAAATTTTTCATCACACTCTAAAAATGCAAAGAAAACTACCTCCTGAAGTTGTTGTATTTGGATTACTAGGATTAGGTGCACTTTGTGCTGCTGCTGTGCCGGTACTAATTTCGCTGAGATTTAGTTTTGAGTTCGATGTTGTCATCGACTGTTGCGGCATTTTTTCTGAAGCTGAAATTTAGCGAAATCATCCCTTTTTTACGTTTATCCATCAATTTTTTCCCCTCTTAAACTAACTAAGCTTTTCTTTATTGCATTATTATTATTGAAGGAAAAAAAGGTGAATAAAATTACAAACGAAAGTTTAAGGGAAAAAACAATATGAAATTAAGGTCTAAATAAACATGACATAACAAAAATCGGAGTATTCAATCGCTAATAGCACATTAGAATTACGGATATGAATCAAAAAATTTAAACAAATTTTCAGAAAATAAGATTTTTACTTTTTATTATTACACTCAATCGAATACAATTGCTCAAGTTCTGCAATCATGCAGAAAATGATCAAATTAGAATCAGGAAAGTTATTTCTAATTAAATGTAACGTGGATTTACAAGCATACATGGTTGAAAGGGCTTTAAATGTTTACTTTTTGATTTTTCAGAGACAGAATTTATTTGGCAAAAGCGCGTATCGACAACAAAAAAGCTTCGATGCATTGAACTTGGAAGGAAAATAAACTAACAGTTTAATACTTTTAGTTGAATTTGCAGTGAAGCTTCGAATAAAAATGAAGGCATTTATATTAACACCATACAGCAAAGTTTCAGTTTACTTTGTAGATTTACGAAATGCTGTACGTGAACAAGAATCATTCGCCTGATTGAGCAGAGAGTGTCTTTTATAGAAGATATTTTATCAATGATTTTTACTTATAGATTCAGAATGAGATAAATTCTTTATTCGGATCACGTCTTTATTTGACTTAGTAATGAGATAACTATCCAGAAGTGTTGATCAAAAGGTCAACATTGCTTTATCGATGAGTATACACGCAAAATCGAAAAAAGACAACGAGTTGAAGAACATCTGTTACTCCAGAGAATAGGGAGTGAAGTAAATTATTTTGATACTGTGTACTTGCAGAGACACTATCACAAGCACCATTGATGTTGGCATTCAAAATAGAACTTTTATTGTATTTCCGCAGACTTTAAAATTGTATTTTGGCGTATTTGCCCAATTATACATTTTTTTTTGTTCATATAGAGCTTATATTATATCGATTTTCAACGATATGATTTTACTAATGCAGACTGTGTTTTTAGATTTGTATGTATGGAAAATTATAGTCAAAATGTGTCTCTGAAAAACTCAATAGTGTCAATTTGGACCAGTTTAATTTTTCGAACTCTTCAACTTTCAAACAATTTCAAACTTTTGAGCATAGACAGACATGCATTAAGAAATCAGCAAGTTTCTATTCATGCAGATCAAGACAATTGAACAAAGTTTTGAAAGAATTTCAAATGTCGCCCTGGCAAAATGATGACCGCACTATTTTTTTTAGTTTTGTGTAAGTTTTGGTTTGTGCATCAAGAACATTTGGCTTTGGAACAATGACTTGTGCAACATGCAAAAAAACATGCCGAAAATCGGGTTATAGAGATCACAGAGTGTGTAAAACACGTATTTGATTGAATATTCCATGCTGAATTCATTGCTTTATTTTATTAAGTCGAACTAAAATTAAAGTGTTAATTCATATTTTTAGAAAATCGTAGAAGATGGCCAGCAATCGTAGAAGATGGAAAGCCTTATCTGAGGCCCTATGCTCCACAAGGAGTTAAAGGGAAAAAAAATCATATTTTTATTCATAAAATAACACAAAATTGAAATATGTGCCCATTCTCACAAGTAAAGTAAACGAACTGTCACCAAAAAATTTCAATTTGTAAAATTAAAACTTTTAACTTGAAACAAGGAGTAAGTTTCAAGGGTTAGAGAAATTGGCATGCATATGGGTATGAGGAATCAAATATGTTTTGGGGGCTTGAACCTTATTTCGGGCATTTTTTTTCGAAACTTTCAAAAATTCTGTAAAGGGTCCTCAAAACATGCACCCCTTATTTTACACAAACTTTTTTCTCCTATCGATATGTACCAGTAAAATTAGAAAAAATTACAGTTCGTGTACTTTTCTTATCAGCTAGATATTCAGTCAGATACATTCTCTGGGTGGAACAAGTTGCAAATTGCTGCCGTAACATTTATAAACAAAAGACCAAATAGTACGTCAAAAGGGAAAAACTCGAATAAAATTTTGATGGGAGCATATTAAGGTTGGTCATTTTTGACCATCTCTGAGATTAATAACTGTCTCTGCATCCATAACTAAAAAGAAACTACACAAAAAGTTCGAAATTTGCAACAAAAAAAAATGTCTCAGAGTTGATTAAAAATAGCCAATCCCAGTGTCTATCACATGCAGATTGAATTGAAATGAATTCATTGGAAATTAAACAAACAAATAAAATGTTCAAAAGATTAGTTTGATAGTGATAATGTCGAATGTTTGGAAAAGAAATATGTTTGTTTTGGGCGAAATGCGAGCGAGATTAAGAAAAATATATAACAGACGTACAGACAGAACGAAAAGTGGAGGAAGGGTGGAATATATGCATATATAAATCAGATAAAATTCGAATTTTAATATTACTGATATACTGATTATATAATATGTTATTAAATGTACGATGCGGTAGAAGTGGTAGTTTTTTTTAAATTCAAATTCTTCAAATTGTAAATTTGAAGTAGTATTGCAGTAGTAGTTAAATAGTATTAAATAGTATTGAAGAAGATATTAGAATTAAAATGTGGGTGCAATAATTTTCCTTAAACTGGGCAATGTGTGTGCTAAAAATGCGTGATGAGTGTGCCGATTGGTCGTTGTCAAAATGAAACGTTTCGGCATCGGCACGCATTTTAAATGTGACATTGCATTTGTCGGCACTTTCACACATTGCCTCGTTGAATTGAAGGAGCAATTGCAACTTGATATTTATTGTTTTGGTTATATTTGCTATAATTTGTTTTTAATGATTGTAGCGCTTTTTTTTAAATTATTTTTATTATTATTTCAAAGCAATTTTGCATGCACACTCGAGTGGCACACTCACGCACGGCCAGTGCTGTAAAATCACTGTCAATCGGTAGTTTCTTCATCGGCGTACATGGGCCAGAATCAAGGCTCGGACTATGCGGCACACGAACACACACCGATGGTACTGGTGCCGTATATTGATGCTGATTCGACGATGTGTTGTTATTCGCACTCACTACTGTCATGTGTGTGTGTGTGTGTGTTTGTTTTTATTTGTTTGTTTTGTTGGGATGTGTTGAAAATCGACCGTATTATTATTATTATTGTTATTATTTTGGTTTTTGTTTTTTAAAAAATATGCGTTCATGTCCGTGCCCGGTCGTTCGATGCGATATTAATTCAATTATCGAATTGTTCATTCGCGTTTTCGTTTGTGATTGATTGATTTTCGGGTGGTGTGTTTTTTTTTTTTGGTTTTTCATATTATATGTTCAGGTTTTTGTGTTTTTATTGCATGTTTTTGATTTGATTTTCGAAGAGATGTATGAATTTCAATTGACATGGTTCGTGGATGTGATCGGATTATACATTTTATTTTGTTTTGTTTTTGTATTAGCATTTTCATTTTGTACAATGAAAGTTCAGTTCATTCAGTATTCGGTATTGTTCATACGGCGCATTGACAAGACAAACATAGTTTATATAAAACAAAAACAAATCATTGATATGTATATACTATGAATATATATAATATTAAAATTACAAGAAAGAGCAATAAGGAACATCGAAAAACTTGTTGAATTAATGATTGTTGTTCAACTCAACATTTGAATATCAAAACAAAACTTAAAATATCGAATCAAAATTGAAGCAAATATTCAGATAAGCAACATCTATAAAATTGGCTTAGTTTGACAAACAACCAAAACAAATGTTGAAAAAATATAAAATAAAATACAAAAACATCAAAAATGACAAAATCTCAAAAGCTCAAAACTGATTCGGATTTACGATTATTTTTTGCTAGCAATCTGTTTTTTTTTTTGTCGTTTGTTTTGAAATTTCATTTATTTGAAGTGTTTTTAAAGAGGGCCACACAACGAAAAATTCAAAACGAAAAATAAATGCGACCAAAGAAAAAACATGAACATTTTTCAGTCAAATGTTAAGGGTCAATTTTCGGTGTTTTCTGTTTTCTATTTGCTCTCTCATTGATATGAAATAAATAAACGATATAAACATGATAAACATGATACAAGTATGCAGACATTTACCTTCTTTCGGTTGTTCTGGTGTCGTTTGATTTTGATTTACAACAAATGCAGAGTTCTCTTCCTTCGTAATGCTCATGTAATAGCATGTGTCATCCTTTTTCATTGTGTATTTTGGTCCTGGATTCAATAAAATCGTCTCTTCATAAAATTCGGGCAATTCAGCCGGACGGACACCAACCAACGCAACGCCATACCTATATAATTAAAGCGTTATTCGAACACAGCCATTTATAATTAGCATTATATTTTTCAAAACTAATGCTCATAAGTGGGTCGTGTTCCGCACACACACATAAACTTTGGTTAGACTCTCTTTGACTTCATTTACACCTATCCCCTGTCCGTTTTCATCACACACAAAAAAAAAATTTACTAATATGCTGGACGATAAAACTATTTGGTGTAACATCTGGAATGTATCTTAAACAACCAAAATGCTGGTCAAACTCACTATCCCTATAAGGATGTTTGATAAAACACAATAACAACAAATAAATTGAAGTTTTCGATTCAAAACCATATTGTTGTTGTTGCTGCTTTTATTTGAGATAAAATAACATATGAGAACGATTGTTTGGCCAATTTATTTAAATTCGTATTTTATTACATCGTGAATGGAATTTATGCGAACATTCCAGTACGTAACATCAAGTTCATTGGTGTATATAATGCGTGAAACAAATACCCAGCGTTTATTTTAGCAACTGATTTCCTTAGGTATGGGATAAACTTTGCTATTTGTGGAACACTTAAGTGCATTCAAGCAAACAAATAATCTATAACTTTGTTATCGAAACTTTGTATTCACTGGGGCTATGCAGTTCAAAAGTTGTGAATCTAAACCAGTTCACCACATATAAATTCATTATGACATTTGCATCGACGACTATGTCTAATTACATTTCATACATTCAGATAATTTCCTCAAAACTACGTTACCCCACTGCACATTGATTTTGGAAACATATGACGAGCCATATTCAAGAAACTGTGGGACAGTTTGTGGCATCTGTTATAATATTTGGAATCATCACAGAAGTCACGATTTTCTTTGAGTTTCATTTGATTGAGCAGGGGAGGGGGGAAACTGCTCCCTTTCAGATATCAAATTTTTCCATTTCCCCTTTACAAATTCGTCTAAATTCCAATTATACCTTTCAAAATTTCCGAGATGGATTTCACACTGGACGGAATGGACCTTAGGTAAAATCCTTAAAACTTCCCAGTTTTTTACCCAAAAAAATCCTTCGATATGCTATGGTTTTTTTACCGAATATCTTCCCCTCCTCTCGAATCAATTTTGAGGAGGAAAAACTCCTTAATTTTAAATTTATAACTACCACGGACCAAACAAGTTGACCATACTGATTGATTTTTCATAAAAACATTGATTTAATAGTGTCGATCGCTTTCTGATGCTACCTCTTAAATAGTTTCTCAACGGAAATAAGATAATTTCTTCAAAAGCACACTAGTTGAAAATACTTTGACTGCAACGACCACTTTCACATTAGCGCCGTTGTGGTATATGTCGACATTTTGCAAGCAAATTCTCATTTGAAGTGGCCTTTGATTCGAGAGATATTTGAAAAAAAAAAATCCAACTAACAATCAAGTTATGCAAATGTTACCGATTTTGGGTAGACCCAAAATTTCATATTCAACCGCTGTATCCTTTCAAAATTGTTTTAATTGATTGGATGATTCAACGCCAATTAGCCTAACGAACTATTCTTGATATAGTAACAGCAAGTGTATATGCCATAACCAGACAATATATTTAGTTGTCGTCATTTGGATATTACAGCTCATCTGGATATCGTCAGCAGATGATACGAAGTGAAAACAATAGAAGTGATTGTTATAGGTATATAAGCTTGTTATATACTGGTATTACTATAACAATCACCTCTATTGTTTTCACTTCGCATCATCTGCTGACGGCATCCAGATGAGCTGAAATATCCAGATGACGGCAGCTAAATATATTGTCTGTCCATAACACAGCCATACAATCGATTATTTTTCTCTTTCTTTTTCAATTAAAATTGTTGTATTGCATTTGTTATGTTGGCACATTCATGATAATGTCATTCATTTATGTCGGTCAATTTAGCATCGCTCGATTGCATTTCAAAAACAATTGTTACATATCTACTTACTTTCTGTGCGAATGAAAACTGGCATACGTAAAACTTTTTCCTTCGTATTCACCGAAAAATCGACTATCGCCTAAAATGATGTGATATACTTCATTTCCCGAACATTTTCCATATAGTCGATGCCATTCCTCTTGTGATTGCTGGCCCTCTCTGTAAGCGAAATTGATGGACAAATGAATTAGTAACAAAACGTGTCGTTTCATTTGAACGCGAAACGTAGAAAGGATTATTTTCTTTGATTGTCAAATTTATAAGGGTATTCGAAACGGATTTAAGATTTATTGTGTTGATTTAACTTACTGTCCTCTCGATGTATGCAATATCAGAGTTACTAATGTACTAACTCCAGGGCACGTGCAGTTGTTTGCAAGCAACGCATATTTGAATTCATCCTCGCATACCACGTGCTCGGCAAATTTCACGTGTAACTTATGCTCAGGCCTGTGGAAAATTCATTATACACATATTAACATTCGAAAAATAGCAATGGTAAAATGAATTACATAATTGTCATTTGCATTATTTTAATTTAAATTATATGAAATGTTCGATTTATGTAATGTGTCAAAATCCAACTTACCGAAATATTTGTACGTATTGTGGCACATTTGGAGCAAAATCCTTAACCGCCCACGAACGCAAAATGGTATGCTCATCGGCAGCAGTCTTATCCGCATAATTCCGTGCGGCCAATATGAAACACGCTTCAGCTTCATTCATACGTGCACGAGCCAAATCACCATCTTTTAAACATGAACCCTATAGAAATTCATACCGAACATTAATTTTCTAACTCTTTTTCATCTACCACTTTACTGTTGCACTCAAGCTAAATGAGAACATGCATTATAACAGAAGCGACCATCATTTTACTTTTATAATTTATTTCATTGCTTTTGCTCTAGTTTTGTCATCATCAAAAAAAAAATGTCATGGTTTTCTACTCAGCAGTGTTTTAACCAATATTTACGTAAAATGGAATAATAACTCTACTACACACAAAATGGTCATTCAGTTTTTTTTTTCTTCACAAATACCAAATCGTTTGTAATGGCGCGCGCTCTCTCTCTATTTCTGTTTGTTAAGTCGTAGCTACGTAGCCAGAACAATACAAAAAAGAAATAAACACACACGTATACACAAGAGAATTGAAACATTTTAAGTACTACACCAAAAAAGCTCAGCGTAATAACAGTCGTCAGAATTTGCATGGAAATAACTTTCGTTTTGTAAAACTGAATGGTTGAGAATAATAGTGACATACCGCCTCTTTTTTCCGTGTGAGAGAAGGAGTGAGAGATGTCGAGTAAGAGTGCTATCGCTAATAGAAGAAGTGAGAATTTTTTAGGCATATTGGGAGATTTTTTGGCATGACATGCTTTTACATTTTTGGAAAGAAATGTGATTTGAAAGTGAATCATCCAAAAAAATTCCATAATCCAAACATTTTTTATTTTTTTTTTTTTTTCATATGCCAAAAACCTCCTTTGCAGAGGCTTGATTAAAAATAGACTATTTTCACATTTCACCCAAATGGGTCTATTATGAAAATTACCAATTCCGTGATGGACCCCAAAAAATGCAGTGGATGACCTTATTCTCATCAATTTATTGCTCCAGTGTTAATAGGGTATTAGTGCAAGAAATTCTCACAGCAATGAAATCCCTACTACCGTGCTAGATGATGTCGACACGAGTGGACGGATTTTTAAATTTATTTGAACGACGCGATGTTACTATACTTGTCCATTACAACGTACATGTAACAGAAGAAACACACAGTCCATGTCCACTGGCTAGTGGACATAAACGATTTGAACCGTCAATGTGAACTAGATCAAGTATAGAACTTTACATAGGATCATATACGATGAATATGGATTACACAGTCTGTTTCAAAATACCATCACCAATGTCGACACCATTTGACATCAAAATTTTGACAGTAAAAATATGTGTTATTGTTGTTGTCGTTTCATTCCTGTGGAAATTCTCATTCCTTCCATTATCGATACACCCTAATATAGAGCTAAAGATTCATGTTTGGTCTAATTGGCTGGTTTTTTAAATTCTATTTTGGTTTCATGGTCGAAATAAGAAAACGTCGTTTGTGAAGCCCCAACGTGTGTTTCGTTTAATAAAAACCAAATATGCGAATGCTTTATGTTATGCTTCACAAATTTGATTTGTATAATTCGATGCAGACCGGATACAATGCGAAAATCCTTAACTCATTTATGCAAAAAAAAATGTTTCGACTGTTGACAAGGCTATGCTCAATGTACTCATGACTTGGCTATAAAATATTAAAACTCAAAACATGGAAAAACTGAATGAAATGTGATCTATTCAGAGAGGCAAATATTTGATTCTTTCATAAACCAATTGCATGTGCCCAGGTGAATAGCAAGTAAAATGAAAAATGAGACTGCAGTTCGGCTATTTTGCACCTGAGACAAAGCACAAGTTGATCAATTTTTCGTGTCGCTTTTGACGTGTCATAACTATGATGGTACATTTTCATCATTTCGATACTCTAATTAAAGTGTGGTTGTTTTTGTACAATTCAAAATGAATTTAAATGAAACAAAAGTGAAATATATGCAAGCAATAGAGAGCCTATTTTAAATGTTAACGGTAACAAACCTGAATGTAAATCACGCGTTGAGCCCATATCGGAACTTGTAGAATCATTCGCATTGTAGTGTCCAATTCCATTGGACTCAGCAACACCACATAGAAATCCTGTAGAAGCGGATGTGCATAGAATTCATTTAAAAAATCCATTATGGTGTCGGCATGCAGTGTGGTTGAACAGACAACGACGTGTTTTTCACTTTGCGCACGATGCGATGAATAGCTGCCGCCAAGTTTTTGCCGTTCCATCCATGTAAATGCCAATTGCTCGAACTAAACGCGGCGATGATTGCAAGTGATGATTGCATAAAAAACAGCAGCACCAACAACAACAATAAATATGGTGAATTTTGAGAAGGCACGATGACGTCGCACAGACCGAGAACGAAAGAAAACCAATTGAGTATTGAAATATGAATATAACAATGGCATATAGATAAATTATGTTTGCAAAAGGAAGAGATCGACACCAGATTGTTTACAATATTGTTAAAATGTAGGCTAGTCAGTCAAGTTATATATGTTATAAGATCTATTCATACAAAAAAAATCAAGTGGATTGTCTATCTACAGTGCAAACGTAGACACATTTATCTCTCTCTCTCTCTGCTATTGCCACCCAAGTGTCAAGCTCATCGTCAGATTTATTATTAAAGTTTCTTCGGCGTCGATTGTTCTTGAGCTTTTTTTTGGGGGGTGTAATCGGATACTTAACCCAAAGCCAGACACACGAATACCGTCTAATGTTGCGAATCGAACGTAAAAATTTCGATTGATTTGTCTATTATAGTCGCAGTCGTTGGTGTGCATTTGATGGCCATGTATTGAACAGTGATCGGCGCATAATTACGTGAGTCAACGATTAAGTATATATATGTGCAATTTAATTGAATTGTATTCCAATCATGAACATTTTCTATGCCAGAAGCCAATCCATTGCTATTAACATAGATACACACTTAACATACTTTGACCTCTCGCACAAACATCACACACAATTTCAAATATGTCACAACATAATCAACAATTAATACGAGACTATTTGACATTCAACATATATCATTATTGAAATGTGAAAATTGTGTTGCTTTGATTGTTGTCGTTTGCTTTTTTCTCCTCCCTTTATCCCAGGGGCTGAATTCCGCATTCGTTGACAGTAAAAATTTCTCTTTAAATAAAGGTGGCGCTTTGCTTAGAATGTGGGTAGATTTGCACGTACAGCTTGTACAGCTGTATGTACAACGACTATACTCTATTGTTCGTATGCGATTTTCACTAAGCCATTCTCTCCTCTTGTTTCGCTTTTCTGACGCAATTTTCATGGTTTTTATAATGACATATCATACGGTATCTATGCGAACCGATATGACCTTTAACATTTGCAGTATTATCAGACTAGTAGTGACGATGGCTTTCGTCTACTCCCTCTATACATTCTCTCCCTCTCTCTCTCTCTCTTCGTTCTGACAAAACACTCATTTGTGTGCTCTGTGTTGTCGTTGGAAAATTTTCTGTCATGATGAATTTCTCATGTGCACTTTATCTGTTTGAATGCAAAAAGCACACGACAAACATGTAATTGAGTGTGTAAAGCAAAGTCGCAATCATTGAAATCATATATGCTATATTCACTGGTTGCAAATCGTTCGGTGGTATAAAATCGAGACTTAATGGAATGCAATAAAATGCGGTCAAATGAAGAGTGACAGTGAGATGCGTAAGCTAACATTGTTGTCGGAATGGAAATCGAATTTTCAATTTGTTTTATGTGCATTTATTAAGTACGTTATTTTGATAACAACATTCAATCATTGACATGCACTCGATAAGAACACCTCTTCATTTCAATCACTTTTCATCTTTCACTCACACACATGCTCTCTTCTTTTTGTTCTCGTCATGTTTATCTATTTCGCAGCAAAATCGGAAAAGTGGAAGATAAGACAATGCATCAGCATTAGAATCAATCAAATATTTGAAGTCGGACACAAACCAACATTTTTTTTATCGACAATAAATTCGTTGTTTTGCATTCAACCGCAGAATAATCAGAAAATTGCGTGTGTGGCATATAAAGTCAGTATCCGGTACAAAAATATTGTTTTGACATTTTAGAGAAGAAAAAAAAAGGTTTTCTTATGGGAATCTCTATTAAGTCAACAGCACATATGAACCAGATCATAAGTACGAAAACGCGCGAAAATGACTCAATGTAGAGAGAGATGGGTAGTGACATTTACAATTCAGAATTCGGACAATAACATTTTGAAACACACAATCAAGTTAACTTAACCAAAATTTCACAAAACACATGGAGAGGTATAACCATTTTTGACATAGCATTTTTCAAACACAACTAAATATTCCGATGGCGTAATACCCATAAAATCACGTTTATTTTTGGTTATTGCGAATTGAATGTGTGTATTTACATTTATTACTGTATTGTTTCACTCTCTGTCTCTCGCCGCCTCTCTCTCTCTCTTTCCTTCTCTTACTATGTGTTTCATTTCCGAGATGAAAGTATTATGAGCGCGAAGGAATTGTTGTGAATGACAAGAGAACAACGCTGAAGACCACGCAGTCAATAAAACGACAAAGAGCAAAATAAAGACTAAAGACAAGTATATATATGAACTTTTGAATCAGTATTCATATTATCAACTCGAAAAATGAGTGCCATTAAATCAATCGTACGTGATTTTGAAGGCGGACGCATTGCAAATGCTGTGGAATGTTGGTTTCCAAATTTACGCTTGTCATAACACCTAATAAAATGCTATGTGCCAAACACACATGCTCAGAGAAGACAAGAGGAGGCGAATTTTTGTTGTTGTTGTGTAATCATGTCCAGATGCAATTAAAGGCAAATTGCTGAGATTATTTTATAAACATTTCATATTTAAGAGGGGCAAAAAGCCAAAAAACATGGTTGTATCTTTTATTTGATTTCGAAATGTTCATGTGAAACCATCGAGTTTTAACGTGGGTCGATTCGTTACCATCACTATATTTGTTTCACTGCAACATTCTATTTCGTTTTAAAACTGCAGCGTTAATTCAAGACTTTATTGATATAGTTCGCAATAGAGAAAAAAAAAACTGCCGTAAAAAAGCGGATCTGCACAACAAATGTATCGAAAGTGGAAAATCGATTTTAGCTTCGAGTATTAACAGCCACTCATTGAAAATGGCATACGAAATCGATTTCATAGTTGTGCGCGTAAAATCGGGCGAACTGTAATTGCCGCTAAAATGAAACTATCCACTAACATCCGCATTACACACTGATATTAATTCATAAAAGTCTTTTATACATGTTTTCATTTTGAACAAATTGATGCACATAACATCTATTACAAGGAAATATACTATGAGTTAAGTAAACAGTGGAGAACACTTATGCTGCAGGCCATTGTAACGCAAGACGGTGAGAGCGTGAGCGTGTACAGAATTTATTATAATGACAGAGAGAAATCTTTTATAAGCGCCTTTTTCTTCCTCAATTTTCCAAAGATTGTGTTTCATTTTGTCGGGAATTTCGTTAGTCATCCAATTACCGGTATATAAAATGACATTTAATTTTCTTGTGTTGCCGGCAATGCATTGAGTTATTTTCAGCTGACTGAAATTGCTCAGCGTCCTTATTTTCCTCTTCATCGTTTCTCCTCCGCAGAGGAACAATCCCTGATATGAACACACACCTGTCATACAAATGGTTCCCACCACAAAATATCTCAATGCATTGTCTGCTTACGTTTACGTAATTATCCACAATAAATGAACTATAAAATGCTCCTGCCGTTCCAGTTCATTTTCATGCTCCAAAAGCATTGGATGATTTTTTTTTTATTTTGACTCTTTAAACATCGTTTTTATGTTGATTTTTAGCGGTGGGCGCTGGTATCGAAGATTTTTTGTTGAAGATTCAACGAATACGACATCTATTAAAAGACATAAAGATTTTTGTTACTAAAGATCACACTGACTCTGATTTTGTGTGTCCGTTTGTATTGCAAATTCTGCACTCAGTTATCAACCGAAGCTGCTTGTGCAAAATTTACAACACACTCACAGAAGACATCAATTGTAATATTTGCGAACTCTGGTGGTGATTTACTAAATTGATGGTGATTTACATGGTGATTTTTGTATGTATTGTATTTGCTTTGCTGAGCAATATTACTATCGCTCAACGCAGTGTTGGTGGTAATACTGTACAGCGCTGTCACAGCAAAGCAAATACAATACATACAAAAATCACCATGCCGCACATTGTAATGGTGGTAATTTAGTAAACTACTACCAGAGTTCACAAATACAATTGACGCCTTCTGTGAGCACACGCATACACAGAATCGGAGTCGTGTGCTCAGTACTAATACGTTTGCAATACAGCTATATAGTTCGCTAGAGCTGTGTCAACACAGCAGTTGTAACGAAAATCTTTATGGTCTTTAATAGGTGGCGTATTGTTGAATTTTCAACAAATATTTCCATACAAAAAGTGCTTCACCAGCGCCCACCGATTTTTAGTTTTGTTTCATCACAAATCATTTTCGTCTATTCAAAAATGGTGGAACGCTTGTTTATGTGTAAAATATTAAATATTTTACTGCTGCGCCACTATCATCATCGTTTTATACTTGGTATTAATTGAAGTGATCAAGCTGCGCAAGTTCGCAACACATTCTATTGTATTAACATGTTTTGATGGAATAAATTGAATTTTTTTTATTCAGAAAAAAAAATATAGAGGAAGGTGAAACTGCTTGAAAAAAGATACAATTTCTCTGGAAATATTTGAATTACGTAAACAATCAAGAAAAACAATTATAGTTGCCAGCGGCAGGTAAATGAGAAACATTCAACGAAAAACAAGCAACAGCATATGTATGTAAATAAACTTGAATAGGTTGGAACTATTTTTTTTAAATATTTGAATATGCTAGGGCTGACCAATGAGCAGAATATCGTAGAATCATCTTTTGATTCCTTTTCAGTTCAAATTATAGTCCCAAGCTTACACTTGTAATGGAGAAACTTTACTCGCGCTTACTAAAGATTCCAATTGACATCGACTCATTTTCTCCTCACAACTGCTATTGATCAGCCTTAATAGCTGCTTTAATAGTCACTGGCTGACTAACTTTCCGACACAATATACATTTTATTTGAACATATACTGCATATATGTTTTGTTAACCAATTTGTAATGAAAACAAAATGTTAACGAAAAATCAACAAAAAACAAAACAACATTGATGGATATAACAAGTGTTGGCCTTCGAATACCTACGACCAATAGTTCGTTCGCAGACATTAAAAATGAAATATTTGTTCGTTGGAAATTAGAAATTGCATTTTTATTTTCGTTCGTTCGGTTGTTTTTTTAAACCTATTTTCAAATTTCTACGAACGTTCGAAGCCAACATTATATATAACCTAGACAAACAAAATACATGTATCTTCTCACCTGTGTGGGTAGAACGATGAGCGCCACGCAAATCATAATAACCATGTATAGTTGGGAAGGCCATATATCTGGCACGAAATCACCGTAACCAACCTATTATAGAAAATTGTCGAAAACTGTATAAAAAAAATTCATCGAAAATCTATTATTTAAGACATTTCTTTAACTTACCGTTGAAAATGTGACAACTACATAATATGTGCTTTGAAATAGATTTAAATGTCGATGTCCGGCTCTTTGAAAATGCTGAATACCGCAAACACTGCAAACCATAAGACATGATGACAAGAGAAAGGGAGAGAGAGAGAGAAACACAAAAATGAGCAACTTCTTATAGAGTACACAATACACTAGTGCATTATATATGTTTTTGTGTTAATTTGTGAAACTAAGCGATAAAAGTTCCTTTGTGTTTTGTCGCTTCTTTCCTATCAACTGATTTTTACGTATAACGGTATTTTTATACGGTATAAGTGAAAGTAAAAGGTGGTATGCATTCTATTTTTCCACATACACAGTGGAATTCACCGCAAAAAGCTCAAAAACTTTTACAATTCTTTTATCTCTAAATATATCAAGCAATAGAATGTAATTCTCTTCGTAAATCGCAGTAGATACACAGAGCATGCTTCTTCATTGCCATTTTCATATAAAGTCGTTCACTGATTTTGAGGTATTTTCATTCGATATATCAAAATATGTTAAACCATTCCCCGTGGATATGGCATCCGAAAAGAAACAGAAAATGAGGAAGCATAAGAGAAAATGATATAATGGTTCAGTTGGCGTATGTTGTATTATGCTATTTAATGATAGTTACATGTACATGTATAATGCTGTTTTTGCTCAGAAACAAAGAGCACAAGACACACGTGTATGATTATGGTGTTGACGTTCAAATCATATTTGTAGATTAAGCTGCTTTGAACCGAAAGCTGCTCAAATAAGCAGCAAAAAAAAATCTGTCAACATTATTGATCCCTCTCGAAAGAGATTTTCAATGCTAAAATATAGAGATAGGGAGACAACAAATTGTAAATGAAGAATATGACAACATACAAAATCAAAGCCAACAATGGAAAAACCACATTCACCCTTGCACAAAAATAACCACACACAGACAAACTATTTTATCTCTTTTTGTCTTTCGAATAAATCAATAAAAGCATGCGAAAAAAAGTGTCTACCATCACAAGACACCACACAAACATATTGAAATAGGGTGTATCGATGGCATTTTTAGTATATTTTGGAGCAAAATAACAATTTTGATTAAGAAAAATTTGTTTTCTCACCATCAAACCGAGTACATCTGCTCTGCATTTTATGATTTGAAACAGAAAAAACGGTGTGCATCATTTTTCTCAACAATTTGCAAAGGTAGACTACATGGTCCGAAAAACTGACTATTACCCAGGGATTGTTCCTCTGAGGAGGAATGGTGAGGAGGAAAATGAGGAGGAGGAGGAGAGCGAGGAGGATCCTCCTCCTCAAGTGAGGGGGAAAATGTTTTTAGCTAAAAATGATATATTTGTGATAAAAATAGCCCTTTGAGCAAAAAAAACTTTTCCTCCTCACTTGAGGAGGAGGATCCTCCTCGCTCTCTTCCTCCTCCTAATTTTCCTCCTCAGAGGAACAATTCCTGCTATTATCAATACACCCTAATGTCTATTTAAGACTCGTAAGTTACGAGTGTATTAGTTTCAGTTTTTGAGACAAACACATCGTTTTATAATAATACAACGACATTCAATGGAATATCCAAACATCAATAAAAACGGTTCGAAAATAGAGAGGTGAAATTGTGAATAGAAAAGGAACGAGAATAAAAGAAATCTATGCCTCAAATACCACTATTACGCACACAAATAATGTGTGGTACAGAATGCATGTAGTGCTATTAATGGCACGATGCCACATGAATTTGGTAGCAAATCAAGACAGGACTTCACGCTCTGAAGAGCACAAACACGAGCACCAAATTAATTATTTAATAAATGAACGAAATGAAAAAAAAATCATCGTTTTCGTCATTACCATCAGAAGTTGAAATAGATAGCAACAGCTACAGAAAGAGATGATGATGCTCATGTTGCTGTCACTGCTTTGTAGATAATACGCCACAATTTCTTTATCTTTTTTGTCCGCAATTTAGTTTAGTTTCACGTTTCAATTCTCATTTTTTTTTCATTCTCCGTACATGCGTGTGTATACTACTCGGTTTCTGGGTGTATATCCCATTTGTGTGATTATTTTGACTCATTTTTATTTTGCCCGTCACATTTTCTAGCTGTTGCGTTTTGCATGAGGAACAGGAGTGTGAGATGATACCGACAACCAGACACTCGTGCTTACTATTCATTAACCCTGTATGGTATTCACCTTTCTCAGCGATTATCAATCGAAATAATTAAATTACCAAATTCTTCATGGTTCACTGAGAGACAATTCTATCTCTGTTTAGCCGTGTGTAAGATTAAGACAATTTCCAAAAATACTGTTGTGATGCACATTTTTGATTATAAGAACCACTTGTGGCAAAAAAAGACACCGCACCGGAGGTAATTTAAGTGAGAATTAAAACGATTTGAAATCTTGTCCACATTTATGATGATTGCCAATAGATCGTCCTGTGTACCCTTAAGGGTTAATGTTATCGGTGCTTAACGAACAAATACTATACAGCAAAGGTGAATGAAATTATGCACTCAAAGGTTAATGCCAAAAGCTAAATGAATATATAATTAATGAGAGACATTTCGATAGCAAGTTCGCGATCCACCTCATTTGCTCTATCTTCTTCATTCATTCGTGTTATTTTTTTTTGCACAATTAATGTTCCAACCCGCATTTTCTATCAAACACATACACACATACCACAGATTATATGTGTTGACGACAGACAGACAGACAGACTCACCGACCGGTGAATCCATAGAAGGGAACAAAATTACACGAAAACCCTCTTTCAATCAATACCACTTGATTGTGGCTAATTCGTTTACTTACCTGGTAAAAACTAAACATAATAATGTAGCCGATAATATTGTCAATTGCTGTGATAATGCTGATTGTGACTTTTGCATTGCTCGATGGAGGTCGTTCTATATGAAAGAGAGACAAGTACGGTATTTTGAAATGTGTGACCATTTTAATTCACGATTTAAATTTCTATTCAGTTATATGGGCACGAGACATTCAAAAACATTTAGAAAAAAGACAAACAGCGAGATTTTTTTCTACTTACAAACATATTTTCCAGCGAACGTTTGGCAAGCCAACAATTTAAAAATATTGGAATAAATAAATTTCGTAACGGAGGCCATAGTAACTGTAATTAAGCACAGATAATATAATGATCAGATTTTATGCACATAAAAAATGGAATTAAATAATATTGACTCAGGTGCTTGATGAACGCACAAAATATACAACGGTGGACAAATATAATTTATTGTAATCAAAGGTAATTCAGCTTCTTATGGCTGAAAAAATCACTCGTGAAAATAACTGTTTTAATTCATTTTACACACACATGTTTACTACACAGTGTCAGCGCAAAGAAATGTTGAATAGGCGCAATTTATGAAATATCTGTACCTCTATCCAGTTCTATAAAGTAAAAAACCCCAGCATAACATAATTTTCCAAAATTTGTTAGGGTAATTTCTCAATCCGTTTTCCTGGAGAGGCTCCAATGTGTGTACAGTATACTTTAAAGCCTTCAAATTTGTGTCGGACAAAATTTTGGGTGAAAAAAAAAAAAAACAAAAAACCCTTCATAAGGTCCGACAGCAAAGTCCAAACTCCTTATAAAATTTTCGGTAAAAACACCCATCTTTCGCAGGCGTTGTGTTTCACTGTTATAGGCGAAAGATTTGAATTTGACGTGTTTTACGAACGACAATAGTCAGTGTTTTCCTTTAATTTCAATATTTCACCTTCATATTTGTCCACAGTTGTATATAAGATGAAATGTACTTACCGTTAATGCAAATGGGACGGTTGTCACCAATTCTAATATAAAATGAAATGATAGAATTTGTTGCCAAATATTTCCCTGCAAACATACAAAAAGGAAAAATGAAGACGACGCGATATACAACAAGTGATTATTTGATGGAAAAATAAGTGAATGACAAACAGTGTGATGAGAGGTTTGACACATATGTAAATAATGCCAACATTTTTGTTAGACGAATTTTTATATGGGTGAAAAGAAGCGCACCACCCGAAATAAAATTGATAAGATGATGAACGACAAACGCTTGACAAAACTTTATGATTAAATGTAAAATAAAACAAATGTTCTGCGAAGAATCTCCAAGTATATTAGACGATTGTTGAGACGGCACAGCATGTCGCCGCGACGCTGTTTTCCCCATTTCACCTGTCGATTTGTTCATGGGAAATCGTCCACAGAGAAACACAAAAGTTGGGACAAACGAACCAGAGAGAATTTCTGTGTGAAGTATGAAAAAATCATTTTTAAATATAGCAATTCGTTCAATTGAGACATTTTCTTGTTGGACATTTTTTTCCGCCACTTCTTCTTGTTGTTTTTCATCAAACAAAATGAAAGCGAGCGAGAAATATCGAAATCAACTGATAACGATGGATGCGCGAAAAACGTCGAAAGAAAAAACAACAAAATGAGTGGCTGATCATGAGAAGAAGAAAAAAATCAAGTGGTAAAAAGAAAACGATGAAATTATTGTCAATTTTCTCTCAATAAATGAGTTGATTTACCGTAAAAGCCTAGTTTAAATTTAATTTACCCTAAGCTTTATGGCTTGTGTTAGTATATTGGCAGTGCCAGTCAGACACTATGTAAAAATGTGCCGATTGAAATGAACGTGAAAAAAAAATGGAAGTAAATCGATAAATTGATGAAATGAACATCACTTTTTTTTCTCACTTTCATCTTCTCTTCCTTCTCCTTTCCTTCTTTGTGTCTTTTCAGTTACACAATTAAATGAAATCATTTTTATTTTTTCTTTCACTCTTTTTACATCTCGCACTCATTCGTTCTCGGAAGATATTCAACATTTCGTCCAATACAGAAACTTTGTCGACGGATAATGTTTGCGTGAAGCCAAACGAGACTGCGAAGACACACACACACAGCAACGATGAGAATCCAAAAGTTATTTTTCACTTGATATTTTCTGGCTGTGTTGTTTTTACGTATATTTTGAATCTATGAGCGATTTAATAGAAGAAAAAAAGAGAGACTCGCTTGTCTCGTCGAAGAGTTTTTTTTTGAGAGGTTGAGGTTGTGTTTGTGTGAGAACGAGCGAGAAGAAAAAATCATCAATATCGCTTCATTAAATGAGTCGGGATTTGTATTTTATTGAATTTAGGGATTTTTGCTGCATCGCAGCAATCTTTGCGCGATTTATTGAATTATTATCGGATAAACGAACATTTCAACGGGTGCATCAAATCGAAAAGACTTTATGACTACATGCCTCACAAAATTTCCGATCATAATCATTTTTTTCTCTCCTCATTTCGTTAAATATGTGTTTTTTATGCTGATCTCATCATTTCGATTGATAACATCGTGAAATCGGTCATTAATTTTATTTTTTTTAATGTGCGAACCATTAAGCGGATGAAATATCATGTCTGTGTGCACTTACCTTATAACCAAGATATGTTAATAACATCGCTTCAGTTAATGAAATGAATGCCAATATAAATTGTACTGCCCATAATTCCGTTGGTCGACTAACGAATAAAATCGCATCCCAATTGATAATTGGTCGCTCTTGAAACGCCTCCTCTGTCAATGCGGCAGATTCAAGAAATTCGGTTTTATTACCAGGCGTACAACCGAAACTGTTATTAAGGAAATAAAAATTAAATTATTTAGTGAGCTCATAATTTCTTTGTCAAATAGCATTTTTGGTGCGGAATGACAAAAAAAAAAAACAACAACAACTAATAAATAAAACAATGACGCATCGAACGACCCAACATTTATGAAGCACAAATATTATAAAACAATCGCAATCTCAATAAAATCTAAAAGCATTATTTGTTCCGAGTATCGTCGCATGTTTGATCAACAAGAAATTCAAATCAACATTATGACACCAACAGGAAGACGCAAAAAAAACTGATATAGAGAAGAGTATGCGTATATCAATATGTTGGTATAAAATTTCATTTGATGTGATGCACACTTTCACTGTCGGCAAGTTGTATGGATGACAAAACATTTTTTTTTTTTCACTTGAATATCGTACAATACTCGCACAACGATGCCGATCTTCACGGAAATTTTCCAATAGACGATGCAAATAAAATGCGATTGCATGAATATGTATGTGATGTGATAGGAAAGAAAATACTTACCAAGTAGCAAACGTTGGTTCTAAATCGGTTACAACTCGAATAATATACAATACGCATGTAAGTAATTTGAAAAATAAGTTTGCAATTCGTATTCGTAGACCTTTTCAGGGTAGCGTACAGCGCAAGCAAATGTTATGAAAATGATGTAAATATATCCCAGCAGCATAACAAACACCACGTACCAAAATCGATGTCGAGCAGCAACACGAAAATTGAGAGGTTAAAAGAGAGAGAAAAAATAAGAATTGCATTGATTTTGTCTAGGATTTTGTTTATCAGAGTCTTTCGATGATTCTCTGACTATATCGAGCAATAATGGTGTGCATGCAAAAAAAATGTTCACACCAACAAAGACCAAACTTTGATATTCAATATAAAATGAATACAAAAAAAAACTAAAACTTACTTGATCTCTGATTTTTTATAAAATAAAGTTGCAGTCTTTCCTTAAATGTATTTTCATTGACATAATACTCCACTCGTACTCTGAAATGACAGAAGAAAAAAACCGACAAAATGTTCGACATCAGTGAAGTTTTATTTAATTTTCATTTCGTGTATACTGCAAGATAATTGTGGAAAAATTGGATTTAATTAAAAGTTTGACAAGAGTAAAATTGATGTTTAATCATCTAGTTATTTTCTTTTTGAAACATTTTTTTCCCTGTCATTGTGGGGCGCGTTGTGTTTGTCAGTTACGTCGTTTGCATTCGATGCTAGATTCGATGTATCTAAATGAAGAGGAAAAAAATACACCACACACCATGCATTCCGTGTAAAGAACGAACATTTCGATTTTGTGTGCTCGAAAAACCATTTCACTTGCACGACTTTAAACTTTACCTGAAAAACTTATGAATACATAAAGATATCTTGTAATAATGTAAAAACTGTATTAATTTTTTTTTTAAACAAACCCAAATGCATTTCATAAAAAACAAAACAAAATGAAATATATTAGATTTTGACGGAAATCTAGATATTTTAATATTTCATACATGTGTTAAAACTAAATCGATTGATAAGAATATCAAATATTGACGAAACGATTGCACACTTTGACATGCTGTCGCATTTTATATGCCGAGAAAAAGGCAAGGACGAAGAAAGAAACATAAAGTTCAAGCATAAAAAAGATGTGATTGTGTATTATTGAAATGAGACCAAAGTATGACTGAATTTAGATCAATGATGGATTCCATTCTTCAACCAACTTAGTTTTTGCTGGAAGCAAAGATAGATCAGATAATGTATTTTTAGTTTTTTTTTTTTTTTTTTGCATTCAAAAACTAAACTGTACATTGTCTTCCAGCCTGTATTTTCTTCTATCTCTATAACCGGCAATATTTTTACCATTTCTTCCGCATTTTCGTCAGATAAAACTTTTTTTTATATTCCAAAATCAATACCATTTTCATGCAGGTCACATACATGTTTTGTGTCACCAATAAATTTTTTCTATGACTACAACAAATAATAAGAACAAAAAAGGTTCACTCCAAATCAAATATCGCCTACACCATAAACAACTATATTTGTTATGATTATGGACGAACCAGTCGCTGTTCATATGAAAGAAAAAAGAGAGTCAAAATCATGAAAATTGGTACGCGCTCCTTACCACTAAAACAAAATACGATTTTAGTCATTTGATCCACTCATTTTCTAGCCTCATACACCCAATCAAACAATCATCCAATATTCATTGATTCATATGGTATTCGTCATATATAGGTCAACGGTGTAACGATTTTTTTTATTCCGTATAGAGTTATTGGGATACGTGTAAAAATGTGAACCATATTTAGATCGTATTTCTCGTCTTCAAATATAGATTCAAGTAAATTTTCCGTTCTTTTTTCTTCATTTCATTGGATTTAACGTATCAATGCTGTTCGTGATGTTAATTCAATAGTCTAGTCGTTATCATTTTTCTTGAATGAGGTTAAAAATAAATCTTCTTTTTTTATTTTGTTTGAAAAGTTGAGAAATCAATGAAATGAGTCTCGATTTTAAACGAAAGATTGAATTTTCTTCTTTTGACCAATTGAAACTATTTAATTGCCAACAATTGAAATGCAAACACAGTCGGACTTAATTGAATATTATCGATTTTTTGAGTTATAGAAGTTTCATAGTTGAAGCAAGAAGAGTCCGAAAATTTCTTTTCTCATCGGAATAAAAAAAATGTCAAAACAAATGGTTCCAATTATGTGCGGAGGATGTAGAGAATGGCGTACAACATTTTTTTTTCTTCATTGAATTAGCCGCAAGTATCTTATTCAATATTTGTGTTTTTAAAATGGAGTACTCTGAATCTTCGATTTTATTATTATCATTTGCGTCCGTCTTAATTTGATGTTAACCGCGTTTCATTTGTATACCCTCTACAGAAATTCGACTGACCTTTTTATTCGCATTTCTTTTGCACTGAATACTTTGCTTAAATGATGCCGACATTTACGACTGAAAATATTACATTATGCGATGAATTCTATTGTTACAATTTATCCGTGGGAAAAGAAAATTGTGAATCCATCGCCATATGAATGTGTCCATCAACATTTTGTTGCTGAATGGTGACAATCCATGTCATTTCTGTTGTTCGGATCTCTCTTTCACTTTTTCTGTTGTTTCGATCTCTCTCTTCTGTCATGGCCGGTCGGTATTGTTATGAATGAGATAGAGATTTTTTTTCTTCCAAAATATTCTGATGAAGATAACAATGAGAACAACCTTTTTCTCCCTTAAAATATGCATGTAAATGGGTGCGTGCCATGTTATTTGAAATATGCTCGACCTCTTTGCCGAAATATGTCTTGAGAATGTAAGTATCCTTAGCACGTTTTTGTTGTTGTTTTGTCTCTTTTTTTCTCTCCCGCGCCGCTTTCATTTAAATGATTGCTGTCAGTACATAAACAAAGATCGAAAATGAGAGGGAAAAAAATGTGTGATGCTCTTACCACAATAGGAAGAAGATCGACAAGTATTTTGTTTAAAAAAAAAAAACGAGAGTTTGGGTGAGCGTAATTTGTGGCGTGTGTCTACTTTCCTTTGTATATCGATGGGCTACTTCGTTCTCTCCATCTTTAACAATGCCATTGTCACGTTTTTTTTTCTTCTCCTGCAGAGAAAAAGAGATTTTGATGCTTCGTTTACCGATTATTATTGCTATTTCCTGTCGGCTTTCGCTTATTGGCTTTTTCACTCGGTGATATGCTACGCAGTCACAATTTTTTTTGATATATATATATATATATATATATCGAGGTAAGCTCCTTCTTACATATTCAAATGATTTTACGTGTACTGTCAAACGATGCTAGATCTTTTTGGCGTATTTCCAACACGTTTTTACAATGTAAACTTCGTGCTCAGCATATTGCATGCGATTTGTGTGTGTGTGTGTGTTGGTTCGGATGTTAAGCGAGCAAT